CCCCCCCCCCCGTAAACGTTGTCAAAAAGTGATTGTTTTGATGTGCGTTGTGCAATTAGAAACTCGTGTGTTGTAATAACATTGTATTTAAAGTAACTGGATATCATCTAAATCACATGGAAAAGTATATACATTTTTTTTTAACATTTAGGATAAAATCAGCATGTAAAAGTGTGTCAGTAATTACTTAAACGCATGATTAATGAATCATAAAATCAAATCTATCATGAAATCCGCATGTTGTAATAAAAGTCATAATTTTCAAGTGGGGATGGATTTTAAAAACTGTTGAAAAAATGATTGAGAAGTGGCTTTATCGATGAAATGGGCATGAGTAAAGCACTTCAAAGTGTGATTATTTCTAAAATTAAGTGGGTATGCTTTTTTTACTACCTTTCTTGAAGCAAACTTGTTTTAGCATAACAGGTTCTTAACCTAATTGGCTTCTGAGCCACTCAAATGCTTATTGAGTTGGATGGTAGTTTCAACTGAAGCTCAAATATGTGTATATTTAAGTTAAAACATGGTCACTTTAAAATATGAACTGACAATATGTTTTTAAAGTTTTTTCATCTTTTTTTTTGTTGTTGTTAAAATTGGTTGGTCACAAAGTTTTTACCTGTGTTTTTATTTTTGAGAGTAACATGGGATGTTGTAAATTAAAAGGAGCGTTATTGGTGTGCTTGCCAATGACAATAAATTGGTGCTGTGTAATCCAAGTTAATAAAGTGTTAAATACAACCAATTTTACTAATGCACCAGGTTTGTAGTGTTTGACTAACTGCTATACAAGGAGCACTTGTTTGCTAACCTTCATTTCTTAAACTGTGCTAAAAGGAGCAATTCATGCTGTTCATCATTTATTTTATTTTTTTTTAATCCAGCCAGTTTTTTTGTGTATCTAATGTTAGATGTATCTATCTGATACTTGAAGAATTTAAATTAGAGTTTAGTTTTATATTGACTTGAGTTTTATAGTGGCATAAGTTTTTTATTGCTCATATGCATCTTATATGATCTTCTGTGACAAGTATTTCTTATTCAATGGTGTAGTCTTGGTTTTTTTTTTTTAAATAGACTTGGGAAATTTTTTTTTTTAGTTCAAGATATATTGTTTTATTAATAGCTCTGATGATTGCTATATTGTGCAATGCTTAAGCTTAAGACTACCCTTTTTGCCCGATCTATACAATTTTATTAGCATGTGTTTATTGGGTTTAAAAAAAAAATTCAAAAAAATGTAATGAATTATCCCATTTTTCCTCTAATTCTGTCTCTATACTGATATTTCTCAAAGTATCTGCATAGAATCCATTTCAATTTTGCTGCAAAGGAAACCATTTCTGTAGAAAGAATTAAGATAGTAAAATGGCTGTTTATGGTTTGTGTTGCGTTATAACTGCTTTATTTCTTTGCAATTCTAGTATGCGTATTGTCACTTCATGACATCACCCACTGTTATAATTTGTCATTGAATATTAATAACCATTCCAAAGTATTTGCGTTTGTTTAGATATTAAACACTATTATGAGTGTAGTAGTTATGGATATTATATAAACTAATGTACTTAGTTTATTATAAGGCCTTCACTATTGGACAGGAGTATGTCACTCGCAAGATTTTTAATTTATTGCTGGTTACTAAGCTTATGTTCTAAACCTGCATACGAAACCAGGTAGTTCTATTACTTGGTGTGAATGTAAAGCTTTTAAACCTCAGCTAAAGAAAGTCAAGCCATTGTGTTAAGTTATTTCATTAGAATTATTACAGCCTTTAATATTACAACAATTAATAATAGAGTATCATTTGACCAGTTGCTAATTTTCAAACTTTCATTTTATAATTGTATTCTGAAATCTACACATTTCTTGTAGCTGAAAGTTTTTCTACTATTAAATGAGTCTGAATATTGGCAATTGATCAACTGGTGTAAAACATTTGATTTAACTATTATGAAGTTACAAATGTTACTTTAGGATCTTTATTAAATTGTTTGTGTTTTAATTTAGGTGGTAGAGGTGGCTTTTCTTACAATGGCGGTGGTGGATCAAACTATGGAGGTGTGTTAAATGGCAAACTCCCTTTTAAAATGAGCTGTTATGTCTAAAACATTTTGATTACTGAAAACTTATATCTTTAACAATTTTTTCTCTACATATTTTTTCAATTAAATTATCTATTTAAGAATATATACCAGTACTAGAAAAGTATTCTATATTTTTGTTAGTTGTTGACACTAATGAATCAGACTTCAAAGTACACTGCAGAACCAATTATCCGGAAATCGGAAAACCAAAAAACCGGAACGAAATTCGATAAATTTTCCGCCATTTTTAAAAAAATTAATTTTTTTCCTCATAAGATTTTAGGATTTTTCTTTCTTTTTTGAAAGATGTTTACCATACCATCATTTTAGAAATAATCATTACTGTATTACTTCATCGTTTTTTCTTCTTTTTGAGATTATTTCCAAATATTTTTTTTTTTTTTTTAGTTGGGTTCAACAATAAAAAAACCGGCTTTTTGTAGCGATTCAGAAAACCGGAAAAATCAGTTATCCGGAATAGTGATGGTCCCGATCGTTCCGGATAATCAGTTCCCTACTGTATTGGTTTTCTTGATGGTTAAGATCATGCCTTGATATTTCTGATTTTTGTGTATGTTCAGAATATCCAATTTATTAGGTGTAAATTTTTAAAAAATAGATTTGATGAATCTGAATTTTTGGTCCATCTTTTTATTTTAATTAATGCTAGTAGAAATAGTATTGGAAAATTCAATTTCGAAACTGTCTACTAATTAAAAACATGGTCCTTACATGCAGAATTCATTGTTTTAACTTTTTTTTGGTATTCAGTCGTTCTTATCCAATTTTTATACTGATGAAGTCAGGGTGTTTACATTTATTATTTTTAAAAAGAATGCAGTTACAAATTTCAGTAAGAATTTTGTAGTTTCACAATTACTGATTTACCTCTTGCATGTGATTTTAAAAATGATTGGTTTCAATCTTACAACACAGTTATCATATTATGGAATTTTTAAATGATGAATTGAGGGGTCCTCCAATAAAATTATTTATCTAAAAAAATGTTAGTGGTATATTCTCTGGGTTTTTATTTTTATTCAAACCCTACCCCTCAGGGAGGATTTGATTTTGAAAATCAATTATTTATGGGCATGAGGAAATAGTAACCAATTGATACTGTTGTAATTTTTAAGTATTCTGTTTAATTTTAAATAATATGAAACTGTAGTATAATTGTTGAGGTTTTGTAAACATGCTTTTAAATGTTATAGGAGAGGAAATACAAGACACAGTTTTTGTTTCTGGACTGCCTGAAGCTGTCAATGAGGATGAGCTTTCAAATTATTTTGGAGCCATAGGTGTTATTAAAGTAAGTCTTGCACTTTTTATTAATGGTAACAAATATAAGTTGTAAGAAGAAACTAAATCTATATTTCTTTTATATTGACAGTTAGATAAAAAGACTGGAAAACAAAGGATTTGGATCTATAAGGACAAAATGACCGGAAAAGGCAAAGGAGAGGCCACAATAACATATGATGATCCACCAACAGCTAGTTCAGCTATTAATTGGTTTGGAGGTAACATATAAAGGCGCTTGCTGTCCTTCATAAACAGCTTCTTTTCAAATTTTTAAATACTGCAGTTTTATTGCTTAATGATATAATCAACAAAAAAATTAAGTTGTTTTGTTATTTAAAGTCTCAATTTAAATGTTGAAATATTCTAGGTTTTTGTCTGCATAATTGAAAAATTTTATGCATTTAATTTTTCTTAAATTTTGTAACATAATAATTTCTGTGTAATTTTAATTTCTCTATAGAGTAAGTGTACTTATAAAACGCATTCAAGTTTTTAAAATGTTTTTGATATTAAAATAGAAATGTTATTTTAATCTTCAAGGATCATAAGTTGGGAGAATCTTCAGTTAATGTTTTGGTTTGATTAATATTTAATTTATTTTTCATATCTATTCTGTTGGCCTGAATAGTTTTTATCCAGAAGGTTATCTCTGTTAATATAATTTTCCCATATCTGTTTTAGGAAAAGACTTTCAAGGTAAAAAAATAAATGTGCAACTTGCACAGCGTAAAACTCCATATGGTGGTGGGCCTGGTGGAGGTGGCCGTGGAGGAGGAGGAGGTCGCGGTGGTGGTGGCGGCGGAGGTCGAGGAGGTGGTGGTGGACGCGGTGGCGGAGGCCGTGGTGGACGTGATGATGGTGGTCGAGGAGGAGATAGGGGTGGCTCTGGTGGTTCTGGCAGAGAAGGAGACTGGAAATGCATGAATCCGTAAGTACTTTTCTAGGCTTTTGAGTAGCGGAAACCTATTTATATCAGTGCTACCTCTCCATTGTTAAGGCGTCAATCTATAGACAATAACTAGAGATTCTTGTTGATGTTAAACTTCCTGTTTTAAAACTTTTAATGTATAAAATTGTTTTTAAGGCTCTTAGATTTGTTTTTCTTGCATGGAAATCATTAAGGTCAAATTGACCTTTAATTTCAGCTGTTATTTATTTTTTATTAGTAGTTATAATTTTTTTTCCTAATATTTATTGGAGCTAAAAGAAGGTACTTGTGATTCATCCTTTTCGTGATAGTTATTTCAAATTTAGTTTTTTTAATCTATTTATTCACAATTTTACACTTTCAATATATTAGCCATACTAAAAAAGTGCACAAAAATATATTTTTAATCAAAGTTTCATAGCATTTTTGCGAGATTTTAAAATTGAAAGGAAGGGGTGAAAGCAATTTTTCTTCATGGTTGCTATGCAACAACAGATTCATTGGTCTAAGTAACTTAAATTGTCTATTGAATTCATGAATCAAGTGACTGGACAAATTTATTTTATGGAGCAATAAAAGAAAAGTTAGTTATAAATTAAATATTTATCATCACAAACTTTTTAGTTCAATATTATTTTCTAAACTTAATTACTAATCCTGCTGGAAGGAGTGAGTGAATGAATGTGTGCAGAAGTGTTACTCTTTAACTTTAAGCATTTTTATATGTCAAATATTAGTGAAAAATATTAAAGCAGTGATTGTTGAAAAGATTTAAATATCACTTTTCAAATGTTAACTCTTGTTGATATAGTGGTATGAATTTTTGTCTATTGAGCATGCTCTTTTACTATTATAGTCTTGGGTACGCCTCGGCTTCTCCTTTTTTACATTTGTTGTTATAGTACTCAATATTGCATTGCAGCTGTTGGAATATTAATTGATATGTTTCTCTTTTTTTTAATTTAGTGATTGTGGTAACAACAATTTCTCTTGGAGAGTAGAGTGCAATCGTTGCCATGCTCCACGTCCTGAAGGTGTTGGAGGTGGTGCTCCACCTGATGGTGGATCAAGAGGACCTGGTGGTGGACGTGGCGGCGGAATGCGTGGAGGCCGTGGTGGTGATCGAGGTGGGCGGGGAGGAAGAGGCGGACCTCCTGGTGGAAGAGGTTTTGGTGGAGGACGAGGAGGCCCTGGTCGTGGTGGCCCAATGAGAGGTGGTCCCGGGTGAGTTAAATTATTTTACTTTTTAAAGAGATTAATAGAAATTATTTTTAACTTGCTTTAATTCTTGTTTTTTCTTTTCTTTCAGTGGTGATCGAAGACAAAGACCATATTAACTGGTAGCCTAGTTTAAGCATTTTATATTTGTTTCAATCATCAAATTGGACTTACCATGTTGTATACTCTACAACATTTTCATCAGTAACTTTCATTTATTGTACATTTTAATAAAAGTGTAAATTTTCTTTATCTTAGTTTTAATTACTTTCTTTTTGTAATTTTTATGCACATTTTGTCATTTTCATCAGTGATGATCCTCTCATGGAAATAAGTTTTAGTTTTTGACTTGACAAAGGTAACATTGTTTTCATTGGTATATGCAGACTTTCCTATGTTGTGCAACAGCAGATCTTTTTGAAATTTAATGCGTTAAAATTTAAGCTACAATGTCACCAAAAGTCGGAGTTTTTTTTAATTATAAATGTATATTTGTGGTATTGGATAATTTTTTTTCTGAAACCTAGGATAATCTATAATACACTGAAATATTTTTAAATTCAAGTGGAGAAAATTGCTTGTTCGTTTATTTATTTTTTCTTCCTCAATAGGCTGAAATGAAGATGCCATTAGTATTCTTATAAACTAGATTACGTCTCAATATAAACTTGCATTGATTACCCCCTCCCCTACTAGAAAATCTAATGATTTCCATTCTATGCTTAAAATACTGCATGGCAAAAAGCAGATGTTTTTGACATTCACAATAGTCAAAGGTGATTGTATTTCCGAATGTACCACGGAATACCGGCTTTTTCCTATCAATCTTCCAGGTCTAATAACTAGAAGCAGTGCATGTGATTTTTCTGCGAATGTCACAGAATTCCATGTATCTCGAGACCATTAGTTTGTGGAATTCCGCAAATCACTAACTTATAACTCAATTCGTATTCATACGATATTAACATTGTGCAACGTGATTTATATTTATTCGATTTAGATATTTAATATTACGGTTTGAAATTTCATATCTAATATCGCGATTCTTGTAAAGTTTTTTCTTGAATTAGTTACTGAAAATGTGTATTCATTAGTAGATTAATTTAATGATAAATGTGAGTGTGAAAAAAATTTAAATTACAATTTGAAACATGTATGGTATATCAAGGGTCTGTTTAGAAGAAATATGGGTTCGTTAACAGGCTCATCACAAAATATCTTTTCATAAAAACGGACCCTTCACAAAATAATTTTTCTTTTTATCGGACCCTTCACAAATTTGTTTTTCTTCATTATTGTTTTGTTAATCGAATAAACCCTTCCCAGGCAGGCGTTTCTTCCTTTATTCGTCCGGACTGAATATTCTGCGTTCAGCAATATAGGCTAAATACCAAATATTTGTATGTTGCATCTCTAATTTAGTAGCAGCAATTGCTGTTTATTTTTTAAATTTTTTTTTTTTTTAATTATAATTTTAGTGTTGAGCATAATTCTTTACAATTTAAAAACTCCTTGAAAAAGTTTTTTGCAATAACAGGACCCTATTTGCACAAATTCACAAAAGTAGGACCCTGGTTGAAAGAATGCGACTTATCGTTTATTTTATATTCACAAATTACGATTGATTTTTTCACAATTTTACAAAAACTGACCTTACACAAAATGTCTGAACAGGCCCCTGTATTTAAATTGATATCGATTTTTTTTTTTTTGCACTTTAAATTTTCAGTGTTTTTCAATTTGAGTCACAATTACCTCTGAATAGTGTCCTGTGCTTCTGAAAGTTTAATAAAATATTTGACCTATTTCGTTCAAAATAAAAATACCTTATTAAAAACGAAATGCAATTACTTGACTTAATTTTAAAAAATAAATGTCTTAAAGACGAATTGATGAAAACTTTTCCCTAAATTAGATTTACACTAAAACTTTTTCTTCTCGGTTTCAAATCAAAATCCGTTAGTCAAAGATTTTACTTCTTTTCAGCTCAGTTTTTGTTAAAAGTTTTTTCTTTTATTGCTAGATATAGATTGCTTAAAATTTTCCCTTTGGTTGCTAATTATTCAATAAAAAGTATTATTTATTTGTACTTAATTTTTTCCATTGACTCTAATTCTTAATAAGTTTGATTCAGTGTCAAAAAGTACACAAAAATCTAATAATCAGTCTTATTGTCTTGAATTTATATTTATTAGATTCAGAGTTTAAAAGAAAAATACATCAGCAATATTTTGCTTGTATTTAGTGAACAAAAAGCCAGAGTAAGGTTTGTACTTTTTTTTATAACGTGCAAGTGAATAATTAAGTATCAATTGTATTTTACCAAAGAGTATATGTTGAGGTTAAATGTGTGTTACTTGATACTTCTACTTCATTTTACATGAAAAAATTCTGAATTTAAAAATATATTAGACTTTGACAAATATTTTTTTAATCAACTTAACCGCTCCTAATTGAGAATAAGACATTAAGGAAAGATATGTAGACAGACAAATAACTATTAATGGCTGAAATCAAGGTAATATGAAACCACCTGCACATTTTTGTTAATAGTTATAATACGAAGTGACTGAGTTACCTATTAGACATGTGAATTAGGCATTGTATATGTGAATGTCTCTACAGCATATTAAAACTTCTATTTCTCTTGTATTCATTTTGAAAGAATTTTGTGATTATTTCAAGTGGAACTTAATATGAGATTTACCTTATGAGACTTTTGAGTGAATTTTTTGATTCCATGCAGAGCAAAATTTGAAGCTCTGGCTCTTTTTATTTGGATTTACATTTTTTGTTAATCATTTGAGAGTGAGCATGCATAAGACGGGAAAATTTTGGTAACTCAGAAACCGTAGCTAGCTAATTTTATTTTTAATTAAGATGTCGGAAGAAAATTAAATTCATTCAGCTTCCTGGGAATTGGTTCGAAGAAGCACGGTGCTTTTTCGATCTTATTTCAAAATCAAGCAAGTTCGCTTATTTTGTTAGCATTTCCCACAGTTTTCAGGAAATTTAACTGCCTCAAAAAAATTTTTTTTTAATCTTGTGAGTCGGATACGTGGGTGTTTGTGGGCGGAGCTAGTAGTAGAATCAGGGCTGATTGTGCTCCGGAAAAAATCCGGATTTCCGGAATTTTCGCTAACAGTGATCCGGAAATCCAATTTTTCAAAGTTGGAACTTAAAAACACGGTTTATTTTATTTGTTTGTAAGGGAGAGCCAGAGAGATACTTTATTAAGCCTATATTCATGATTAATATTCATCTTTTATCAGTAAATAGTTGTTATCATAAACTCAAGAAAGAAAGACATTTGTAAAATTTTGATTACTTCTCCAGGTCATAGGTATGTGTAAAATTTTAAATATATTTTAAGTAAACTAAGAAATATTGAGAAAAAGGAAGAAAAAAAAAGAACATTTTTTAAAATTTTGTTTGTGTGTTTTTGTTTTTTTTAAGCTCAAGAAATTTTCCGGAATTTTGACTTGGGCTCACAATCACCCCTGTAGAATAGACTTCATAAGCGCGCATGGCGAAATTTCTTTTCTGTTCTTTTGCACTGGTTGCCGAAATTCTGAGTTATTTATTTTTTCTCAACAGTTAACTGATTCTTTTAATCCAAGAAAAGAATAAAAAATGGAATTGACCAAAAATTTAAATAGAATAAGTCAAAATGGAAAAGCGTCAAAAACAGCATAATCTTTTTTAATTTCAAACAGAAAAAATGAGTTACCACCAAAGTTTGAAATGTTGGAGTGATGGGGGGAGGAGTCTTGAATCAGGCCAGTTTCAAGACCAGATTTGTTGAAAATTTAGCTATGGCACCCGGCATTATCTAATTAGTGGAAAGAATTTTAGGATTCCGACTCTGTCGAGAGAAAGGTTGGCGAACGTCTGGTACATCGAGGTGTAACAAGGATCTTGCAAACTCTCTCGTCCCCTGTACTGCCACATGAAATAAAGTTTGAAGGATTAATGTTACCAGAAGGTAACATATGAAAGAGCTGATAATTTCCACTATCAGAAAGTTAATTTAGGGTGATGCTCTATTTGTTGACTGAAGAATCCCGGTTCAGCCTAACAAATGACGCGACGTATTTTTATATGGAGTGAACTATGGACCCGCACCTTGTACTCTAATGTTCGAGAAATCGACCATTATGGTGACCGAGGTTTACTGATCTTGGCTGGAAAAGTAATTGGTTTCAGCACACCCCTACATGTCTTGGAATGTGGCTAGTGTGACGTACACAGGAAAGAGATCTTTGATCCCTATATTCGCCTTTTCAGGGATACAGCGATTCCGAATTCATTTTAATGGATGTCAATTTGAATCCACACAAGTAATTTTGTACGATTATTTTCTGTACAATGAGGATATTCGCTGGATGGAATGACGATTAATCAGAACTCAGGATCTCAATCTTGTAGAGCTTGTCAGTGATGTGTTGGAGACGACACTTGCATCTCGTTTCTACCTCCTAGCACCAAACAGTGTCTGAAATCAGCATTACTGAACAAATGGAAGAAACTGCCTCAGGAACTCATAATTTGCATTATTTAAAGAAAAAAAAATCATGCTGTGTGGCCTGCATAATTGTACGAGGGAGCCATAACCATATCAAACAATTTTTTTTAAAATTCTGTAACCACTCTTTGATACCATCCGACATTGATGAGTGCTACGTACGATCATGTGCATATGTATCGTAACTGTTGAATTGTTGTTATTCTTGTATTGGCGATCGCAACGCTCCAATATGCCATCTGGGGTGAGACCGGTTTCATACCTTTGTCCCTTCCCTCTCCGCCTCTTTTCAGTTGTATAGGAATGTACTACGATATTTTCCCTTTTTATTTAATAAGAATATTTTTTAAAATTTCCGTGATGCTTTTCTTAAGAACCATGTTTAATGTAGTTTTCAGCTCCATATAGTTTTCCAACTTAAAAGATTCTGATCTATATGAAAATCAAGAGAGAAACTTACGTACTTCCTTCCTCTATGACTTTATTAGTGCCTTAGATATAAGGAACCCGTAAGAGGAAGTGAAGGTCCTATCTTTCCGATGGCAACGAAAAACCGGTTTTCAGGGTTACCCTATTTTTGTGGTTTATCTTATTATTGGCGTTTTAAAAAAATGTACTACCATTTTTTTTTTCGTTGAGTGCTTAGTTGTACTAGTTCTGATTTCGAATATAACAATATAATAAATTATAAAAAATGGACAATAAATTGTATTTTTACTTTTAGAGTTAATAAAACTTTTAACTCGATTTAGAAATATGTATTAACTTAGTTAATTACTTATTAATAATTAATTTGATAATTTAATTTTACAATGCTAAACTACTAACAGAGCCTTTAGTAGAGTGTACTTTAATGCAGAGCTGCCATCTAGTGATGGAATTAGTAAATCCCTACAGCAATGAAATGAAANATCGATCCCATGCAGTAAAATTTCAACACGTGAAATTAACAAGCCATCACAACAAAGCACACGAACACTGGCGATGTGGCGATTTAACAGATAGAAAAAGTCGCCACGATGATTGAAAAAAGTAACCTATTTTTCGTTGCCACAGGGAAGATAGGATCTTCACTTCCTCTTACGGGTTCCTTATATCTATGAAACTCATGACTTTATACACGCTATAAGGGAGATCATGTGAAGTGTTGCCATAGGTAAGGAGTTCTGTTCGACGCCACCTGCAGTCCATTTCGATCGCCAATTGTATATAATATAGCCTACGTCAGAGGTTGTGTTGTTCCTACTAAATTTAACCCATGAACGGCATTTTCTGCGAGCCTAACTTCAAGCCACAAATAAACAAACGAAGTGTTCGATCGTTTAAATAGCTGCTGGCCAGATTTTATTGCATTATAAAGAAAAGTTATTGAAACTAAATACAACTAAATAAACAACAACAACTAAAACAAATAACAACAACTACTAATAACAATAACTAAATAAACAACAACTAAATTCCATTCGTTTAGCATTGCGTCATATGTTGTTCCTACTAAATCGAAGTAGTTGTGTTTTTTTCATATTATACCCAATTGTATAATGCTACATTCAAGCCAAATTTCATTAAAATTCATCCAGTAGCTCCAGAGGTTATACGTCGAATATAAAAAATCTCTTAATTTTGAATACTAAATGTAATTATGAAATTTCTCCTAAATTGAAGCTCAACTTAAAAGTGTTAGATCATGCTTACGAACTGTGCCAAGCGCCATCTATATGTTATATCCATGGGAATAACTGTTCTGGATCACAATTGAGCTTTTACGGTTACAATCAAAACAAGTTTGTTGCGCTTTGAAATTATATAGTTCCTAGAGATGGCAACATTAGATGCTTACAGCTGTTTTACAGACTGTTTTTATTTTCCTTTTGTAAGCGTCTAACACAGAGTAATAATACTCACTAATTTAATTTTATTCTTCAATTTTCTATGGTTCTAAAGTTTTAATGGCTGCGGAAACAACAAGACGTGGGCCTAAATCTACAGGATTGATAATCAGACCTCAAGGAGTTAGGTAAGAAAATCATTTAAAGCCTCTGTTTACAATTCTATTGTAAACAACTAGTTTGCGTCATTGTTATTGTATATTATACACAATTAGTTATTGCGCAACATAATTAGTAGCATTCTTTTAATTTGAATTAAATGCTAAAATAATTAATTCTTAATTTCATAAACTTATAATGTCATCATTATTTTGTTTACTATTATTTAATGTGTTAAAATAAAATTCTATTATTTGATGCTTAATACGCAGCACCCTTTATTATGTTTATTGGTTATAATTTTTTTTAAATGAAAAATTGTCAATTATAAATAATGCGTTTGAATTTTTATTAAATAATTTTCGCTATTATTTCAATTCTTTTCGAATTTATTCTGTTCAAATTTTCTTTGATTTACTTATGCTTAAACGAAAAGTTATAAATTTTTTTTATACTCTTATTTATTTATTTATTTTAAGTATGTTTACCTGTTACAGAATATAAATAGTTGATTTAATATTTTTAATTATAAATTTTATGTTTTTATTTAACTGTAAATTAATTTCGCTTTTTAAATATTATGTTAAAAAATGAACGTTTGATGTTGAGTAAATATATAGTTTTATTAATACAAGTTTCAAGAGAAATCTTAATTAAAAAATTAGCATTAGTGTTTTTTCTTAATCATCGATTTATATTAATTTTATGAATTTAATAGAAGCTGATTCACATATTCTTTGCTAGCTTTAATTTGCAATTACTTTTTTAAGGTATTTTATTAGTTTTCATTATACTTTTGCCCATTATAACTAAAAGATGCTGAATACCATCATTAAGCTTAGTTAGCAAAGGATTATTTAGAATCTAGTTAAAAGTAATATTTGATATATACAGGTATATTGCTATATGCATTGTGTAAATTATTGCATGAAACAGATAATGCTGTAAATAAATCTGTAGGGATTTTATTATGGACTATGTCAACCTTCATCTATCAAGAGGTGCCGTTTGATAAATGAAGGTTGACATAGTGGTTAATAAAATCCCCTCGTGGGTCATTCTTACTGAAAAGGTATAAATAGACTAAAAAATTTTCTTAAATTAAAGTAATTAAAAAAGTGATAAAAATTACATAAATGCCTTTATTTATTTTTGTTATATGTCCTTACAATAATGGTCAAGTTTTCTATTTTATTTTTTTACAAGATTTAAAATATTTTAAATTCTGCCTTGTCCACGGAGGAGATGTAATAGTCAACGGAGGAGACATTTTATGTTATAAAATATAAAATGTCAATGAAGACTAATTCATTAGTTATTGGGTACAACTGATATGAGTTTAGCATTAATAAGTAAACAATAAAATATTTCATTATTAGAGATAGGGATTCTTCCGATTAATCATGCTGCTATGAAAGGAAACATCCATTTTTAACCTAGGTGTACAATTTCTTAAGTAACTCTTACTGAATATTAATAAATTAAAATGTAAAGACTATTGAAATAAAAATTCAGACTCCACATGAAAGTTGAGTGTTGAGGGTACTCTTTTGTGACCATTTTATGCAAGTTAAACATACTGTCATCCAAATAACGTTTTTGTTTTTTCTCTTTTCTTCTTGTTATTGTTTCTTTTTTCCCTGGGCACAAACGGCTTGCTCTATCAATTTCTAGAAATTTAAGTACATTTAATCACGATTTTTCTGTTAAATCTTTTTCTGATACAGATTTTAAAGTTTCTTGCTCTTTTTTTTTTTTTTTTTTTTAAACTTTCTTCAAACAATATAGGGTTTTCTTTTAATTTCTGTCTAGCTTGTCTCATACTAAGTTTTTTCTGTTCCCTTCTCTTTTGCATTTGAACATTTGATTGCTTTCTTTTCTTAAATTTTGGTTTTGCAATTTTTTTCCTAAAATTTGAAGAGAAAAAAAATGTTAAACATCACAGAAATTATTTAGAAAAATTGCCAATATTTACTTCTCCGATAAGAAAAAGTTAAACTTAATTGATTTTCTTTAAAAATACAAACAAATTAACACATTTGTTCCATTTTAAAAAATATCAATTAAAAGAAAATAGTTTTTTAATTATTAAAATTGTATTATGGTTATCTAACACATTGTCTCTTCCATTGACTGTGTCTTCTCCTCCGTGGACTTGTTATGTCCACGGAGGAGACAAAAACTAGTTCTTGAATTTTTCTGATTTTTAATTTTAAAGTTACAAAAATGGGGCAGTTCTTTTTGTTAAATATACTATTTTTGCAATCTAAAATTCATCTATCAAAAATAAAATAATTTTCTCTTACCTTCTTTATGATGTCCACGGAGTATACGGTGAGAACTTTGCCAAACCCCAGTTGAACACAACAATCCAAAACTGACACCAAAGAGAACAAAAACAACTGATAGTTAACATTAGAAAATGGAATGGTTACCTTTCCCAGCAGCTGTCTTATAGGGATTTCGCATATGCTGCCCTTTATTGCATATTTACCGAACTATATTAATTGTCCATGGAGGGAGATTTCATTTTTGATGGACAAAGTTTACTAGTCATTTATTTTATAAAAATAATTTTTTTTTAAAAAAATATTAAATAAAAAGTTACTATAAACATTTAACTAGGTAAAACTACAAAAATCATTAAAATAACATTTAAATTGTTTAACAGCCATTAAAAATTATTTTGTGTCACAGACGTAGGGACGTCCACGGAGGGGATTTTGAAGTTATGTTTATTAAAAAATAAGAATGAAATATTAAATACATTTAGCAGAAATGCATATGATTTGTTAGTTAGAACTTTACGAAAAATGATGGAGAAAAATATTAAGAAATCTGCTGTATTTCCTAATATTTATTACTAAGGGACTTAGAAAATCACCTTTTTGTGAGAATGACCCACATGTACCTCAAGATGGTATTGAGTTAACGTCTTATATACTAGTGATTTGGTATTTAATATTTCTAGTGGTAGTTACGTCACAAATCTTTATAAAAAAAAATTCTTTGAAAAATTAACCAAAGGTTAACTTTGTTTTTCTTGAAACAAATTTTAACTTATAGTGTCAAATTTTGTTGCACTTAAACTGATGTGATATTTGCCATTTGAATTTCAAAATTACAACTTTGGTGTTCGTCTGTCTCTTCAAAATTTTCTATCAATGTTATTTGATCAAATTTGTAGACATTTCATTAAGTATTAAGCAGGTTATCATAAGCAATATATATCATAAATTGAATGCTAAACAGTATTCAGTCTATTTATTTTGAGTACTGAGCACTAAACAGGTTCTGAATACTGAACAGATTGTCATAAGCTAAAGTACACTTGCTGCTGAGCCATGCTACCCTATTTTTATAATGCGAGACACTTTTTTTGACTTTTTTGAAACAAAAAATAATTCTTATTAAATAAACTGATTTAAATCATGATAAGTTTAATAATTGGAAAATGTGAATGAATACTCACTTATTAAATTTATTTAAATTGACTGGCAACTGCACTCAGATAAATAAGTATATTTAAAAGCAACCTGAGAAACAGCAATTCATTCTTAAAGTATTTTATATATTTTTTTCTTAAAAGAGTTATTAAAAGATTTTCGAAGAAACTAAAGTAAGACTTCTTTCCTCAACAAATATTTGCTAATCGCAGAATCAATAACTTCTTAGTTCATCTGATATATCTGAACATTTTACTGTTGTAATTTACATTGCTTGTAGTTTTTATCTATTAGTATTTTTATGTATAGTTTTATAAATCTACATTAGTCTGGTTAGAGAATATCTAATATTTCCCAAAAATTACTTGATAACAATTGTAGTTAAATGATTTTCTATTACTGCAATGATGTGTTCAATTGTAATTGTATTTTATAAAAGGCCGTTTTAAATTTATTTTAAGGATAATAATATAACTTTCATAAACATTCTAATATAAGTGGATTAGTGAAAGGTGTATTTACAACAAATTAGCCAAATTTTTATCAAAAATGAAATTTCTTAAACAATCTATTTTAGAGAGTCTATAAAACCGTCAGCGTCTGCTATGGTACAAAAAAATAAATTTTATTTTTATGCTTACATATTTATATCTCACTATAAATATTGTATATGATAGTATTTATTCCTGAATACTTGAGGGGATATTCTCGTTAATTAAACTAACGGCTTTCTTTTTTTACCTTAAAATTGTTAATTGTTATTTATCTTCTTCATTTGTTTCTTAAATTAATATTTAGGCTTGATATAGATTTTATAATTTTCTAGTAGAAGTATTGTAGTTTAAAATTTTAGAAACAATTATATACAGTGTTATGACTACACCAGCGAGACTATTCCAAGAGAAAAACAATTTTTTAAAAATTCAAATTCCTTTTCCAAAATTTAGTCCAGTTTTCATTCAGTTTTCCAAAAGGTGCTGTGGGCATGAAAATGTTTTTCAGCAGCACTGTATTTAATTTAATATTTTCTGCTTTTATGTTTTCCTTTAAATAGTTTTGAATTTAAATTATTCTGAAGTATGTCACTGTAGGTTGAGCAACATCAGGTGGCATTACAAATATTGAAATTCAAACTGTTTATTTTAAGTTTTAAGCTTATAAAATTATTAATATATTTTATTTAAATACTTTATTTTAAATTTTTTAATTTTAAAGACCTATTAAGCAGTTTTTATTTTTGGTTTAACTAAATACTTTTTTTTGCAGTGATAAATCTTATGTTGAAAGTGTTGTTGGATTCATACATGAAGTTGTTCCCCAGGTAAGCAGAAATAAAAAAATAAAATTGTATGTTTATTTACAGTAAAAATGAATAATGTACTTTTTTTGTATTTGATTTCTGAAACACTTGCTTATTTTTTTTAACTGAATTTTTGTTTTGAATAGTTTCTTAACTTTATTTTGAAGAAAAAAAAAGCAAGTAATATGATAACATAATTAAGAGTTGGCCAAACAAGTAAAGCAATAGTAAAATCAATGTATAGAATTGGATAAAATTGTCTGCCAGCTAGTCAACTAAAACTTATATGCTCAGTAACAGAACTACTTAGTCGATTTTTAAATTTTTTTTTTATTTTTGAAATTACTCTTATCTCTTTGATTTGTATGAAGAAGTATGAAATCTTTTTACTTTGTGTGCAATAGCTCAACAATTGTTGATTTTGGTTATTATGCAAAATAAATATTTGTTAACAACTTTTAAAAGGCTGTACAAATTAATCAGGTAAAGTACCTTACTTTTGCTGCAGATTTCAAAATATTTTAGATTACCCCATTTTGGCATAGTTTGCATCACACACACACGTATATATATATATATATATATATACAGTAGACGCCGCTTAATGTGATCACATCGGGACGAACTTGATTTGATAACAATAACCGATTGATTACAATAAACGGAAAAAAAATTAAGCTAAAAAAATTTTTTTTTTTTTTACATACATATTAAAATAAAAAAAAAATTTAAATTAGGAGTAGTTGCTGTAAAACTCTAAAGTATTTAATAGAAATTAATGTACACTAAAGAAAAAGAATTAGTTAGTATACTTATGTATTTAATGATGAGCTGCAGAAAACAATACAAAAGGTTAATTATTAACTGAAAAAGAAATCATCAATTGTCGATTGTTTAGCATTCTTTCGAAGCAAGTCATTTACGAATCGCTCATAATCGGTGTTTATGAAAGTGTTCCACGTCGGCTTTGTTTTGCACACCTAGCCGTAAGATTCGAAGTGCCTCCCTCATCTGAGCAGGCGTCGGAATTTGGTCCTCGATAGCACTTTCGGGTTCATCGTCGGCATCAGAATCTTGTGACGAAACTTGATCTTTGACACATACGGCTTCGCAAATGTCTTCATCAGTTAACGAAGTAGAAGTCTCAACCTTCTCGTCGATCTCAATCCATGCTTCAAAATCCTCAGTATTCATATCGGGCGGGGGATTGAAAACGTCTTCCATTTCTTTCATCACAGCAGCATTGTTGTCCTCTGGTTGACAAAATCCTCCACGACTGAAACAATTTCGAATTGTTTTTTCCGAGACATTATTCCATGACATTGTTAACAAATGTATGGCATCCAAAACATTTGTTTTTTTGGCTAGAGCGTTCGCATTAAGATCTTCAGCGTCTTGGTCTTCCATATTTTCTAAGATCCTTGAACGCATTTCCTTTCTGTAATATGCCTTCAAGGTGCGGATAATTCCCTGGTCTCACGGTTGAATTAAAGAAGTGGTGCTTGGTGGTAAGAACACGATATTTATCTTTTTTAATGAAACAGTTACATCATGCGTAGTGCAGTTGTCTATGAGCAGGAGTATGTTCCGTTTTAGTCGCTTGTCCCATTTCAACAGCCATTCGTTAAAGATGATGGTAGTCATCCAAGCCGTTTTGTTGGCAAAATAATCGACGGGCAGATTTTTCACACCTTTGAAACAGCGGGGCTACTTATTTTTTCCAATCACTAAAAGTTTTTCTTTAGTGCCGGCCATACTAGCGCAACATAGCACAGTTAGGCGTTCCTTGGAGGTTTTACACCTTTGCGTACTTTCCTTCTGAAACATGTACGTGTGTTCAGGCAGCGCACGAGAATATAGGCCAGTTTCATCAGTGTTATATACATCTTCAAGTGAATATGTGGCAATAAGTTTAGGCCATTCTTCTTTAATCCACTGATCTGCGGCTACATTATCGGCATCTTTTTGTTCACCATGTGTCCTTCGGAAGAGTATGTTCTGCCTCTTTTTCCAGCGGTGGAACTATCCTTCTGTGGCTACGAAGTTTCCTTCACCCAATTTTGCAGCTAAATCTTCAGCTTTTTGGCGCAAAATTGGACCATTAACACCAGCGTCCCTCTCACGAACATTTGTGAACCAGAGTTTTAATGCAGATTCAACCTCTTTGTCTTTTCCATCTCGATTTCTTTTACAATTCAGATTTTCGTTCAAAGTGTACTTTTTTTCGATATCTTCACGATTTTTTAAAATTTTGCACAAAAGCGGCTGCGAAACTTTCAATTGCACAGCAGCATTTCTTTGGCTCATTTTCTGCAATTTATCGTAACGATTTAAAATGTCAACCTTTTCTTTCACAGTAAGATCTCTCCGTTTCCTTTCCATTATAAAAAACAAATCAGGTTACAAATCGTATGAACTATGGTAAAGTGAAAATTTATGCTGATCTTCTTCTGCATGCGTCTTTTAAACACTTAGATGTTGCAGTTTCACTATCCCCCTCCCCATTTTATTCAATAGCGATTCAGTAAGCGACCTGCCAAGATCAAGTGGCATACCCGAAACAATGTTCTCTTTTGAAGGTCACCCCTTACCCCCTTCCCATAGCGTTTTGAAGGTCACCCCTTACCCCCTTCCCATAGCGGCTGGAACATATCATCTGTCACATTGTTTAGTTCTTCTGAAAAGGGGCTCGTGACAAACATTGACTCGTTACTGGCAGGTCTTCTTTTCTCTTTAATTAGGATTTCCGGGAATTTGAAATCGTACAGTGCGGCGGAATTTTGCAATGCTTGACCGAAAATGGCAAAATCCCCCCCCCCCTCATAATAACACATGTTTAAAAGATAATATACCAGCCCCGTTTGAACTTTTGGTAAGTTTCAGGAAACACTTCACAAAACACAAAAAAAGTTTTCCTTCTTGTTTTTATTGATTTCAGGAAAATAAAATTTACCTATAAACTGATAACAATAAACGAACATTTGATTACAATAAACGATGATTTTTCAATGTATTTTGATATAAGCGGACGGGACTAAGCGATTTTGATAACATTAAACGATTGATAACATTAACCGTGATCACATTAAGCGGCGTCTACTGTATATATATATATATACAGGGGTCTGTCCAAGCCGAATTTACTACCGTTTAGCGGTACCTTCACAAATTCAACTTTAGGAAAAACGGTAGTTTCACAAATTCAATTTTAGGAAAAACGGTAGTTTCACAAAATACTTTTTCTTAAAATTTTATTTTTGTATCCCTTAAGAAACGATAAATCCATATTTTTGTGTTGATTTTTTAATATAATTTTTAATTTTTCACAAATTATGTCTAAATTTTCACAAAATAGGTACCTCTCCGAAAAACCTAGACAGACCCCTGATATATATATATATATATATATATACAGAGTGTTCATTCCCTTAATGTAAGAATCCTTGTAAATAGTGACTGAAAGATTCAGATTCATATTTACTTGAAGAAAAACAAAAACATTTTGTTGTACATCAAAATTTATTTTGACAAATATATAGAATAGAATCTTTTGTACATTATTTTTTAGAGGATTTAAGCATTCCTTGTCAGTTTTTTTGATAATTATAATTAATATCTATTTATTTTGATGTAATTTTTCTTATGTATTTCATGTAATTTGTTTTTATTTTGATCACAGGGTAAACAAGGAGAAAAAGAAGTTATTTTGTGGGTGAAATTTGACTACTGTGATATTAATGGTGAATATCTATTTTATGTTTGAGAAAATCATATCACATTAAATAAACAGGATATTATTTTTTTACTGATTTTCAAAAAGCCCTTGATTCCATTAGTAGACAGATGCTATGAAAAATTCTAGAGTTGTATGGTATTCCCAAAAAATTTATAAATATCATTAAAGAACTCTACAGAAATTCAAAATCTTGTGTTGGGGTGAATGAAAGCCTGACAGAGCCCTTTACTATTGAGACTGGGGTCGACAGGGATGTGTGGTGTCAGGGTTAGAATTTAGGGTTATAGTTGATGGTTAAGGAATTATAATTAATTGACAAGGAAAAGTGCAATCCAAGATTTAAAAAAAAGAAAGAAAGGATTTTGATGGAACTTCACTAAAACATTAGAAGACCTTAATTTTGCAGATGACGTTTTTTATTTGCTGGAAAACTTCAGAGTACAAAACTAACTGGTTGGCAAAACAGAGAAATATTCTAGCCTTAGACCACATCAAATTCAGAACTCTACAGTAAAACCTGGCAAGAACCGTAACGAAACAAGCTACATTAAAGAAATAGTTCCTTTTTTATAAAAACACATTTATTTGACAATTATACGTAAACTAAGCAAAATTAAATTAAATTTTTAAGGTTGATATAAAATTTTTTATTCAAGGGTCAAATGTTTATTTATTACTTTAAGCAAATGCATTAATGTAGCTTGTAAGGTGAATTTTTGTAGTTTCACAATTGTTGATTCATGTTTTTTATACGATTTTAGAAATGAACGATTCCAATTAACAGTTATAGAATTTTTAATCATGAAATTTATAAGTTATTAATCATCTATTGAAATTACTTTTGTAGAAAAATGTTACGAAAAATGAAACCAAGCATGTAAACCAACTGTGAAGTCAATCTTTCAGAATTTTATATGATTTTGGCAAATTATTTATTATCATTATTAATAGATAATCAAATATTAAAGTTGAATCTTTTTCAAATTAATAAACACTAGATAGTTGTTTGATAATATTAGTTATATTTTAAATTTCCCATTAACATTTAGAACTCTGTTACAATACTTGCATTAGGACTCTGTTAAATTTAAGAGTTAGTACCTTTTTGATAAATTTCTACATTTAATTATAGATTTTTGATGAATTTGTTATATTTTAGATTATAATTTGATCCGTGAAGAAGGAGAACATAACGCAAATCATCCTCCACTTTTACTCATTCTTGGATATACAAATGGAGTTCAAATATGGTGTATTCCAGTACGTACAAGTCTTTTATATTTAGTACCAATATTGTAGTAATTTATTTTATATTTTTATTTGCTGCATTGTTTATAAAACTCACTCAATTACTACATTACATCGTTCTATCATGCCATTCATCTTTCAATCATACACAATTATTCATTACTTATTTGTGTTGAAATATTAATGGGTTATTTTCTCAATTGGTAACTTTTGAATCCTTAAGCAATGTTTCTTATTAAAATATTTATTTTCATTATTTAATGGAATGTTTTGCTTAAAATACTCACATGGTTAAGAAAATATTCACCAGACAGATCTTGTATTTAAATTATTTTTAAATAATTAAGTGTTTATTCAAATAAATAAAATATAAGTAAAATGTCATTATTTTATGTCTCCAAAACACATTTCTGAATTTTCTAAGTAATTTACTACATTATGAAAGTGTTACATAGACGAATGCAAACATATTCTGATATAGTTTGTTTGTCTACTTGAATATATATCATTAATATTCTTTGAATAATTTGTATATTTTTTCTACGCATCATTTTGTATGTGTTCCTAACTTTTGTGTAATTACTTTCCAAGTTCAAATAAAACAATATAGATGGCTCTAGTTGAATAAAATATAACTTCCTGGTTACAAAGAATACTCTTTTCTATAGAACAGTAAAGTTTAATTGCAGAACCATTTCTTTAAACATTAGTTTCTTCTTAAAAAAAAAATCTGTGTGTGATTTTATTGAATATAATTACTATCTCCCTATTTTTTTACTAAGGAATTTGAAGCTAGTAATTTAATCAAATATTATTTAAAATATTTACCTTCATTTACTTATTAATTACTGATTCATAGAAAAAAAATTGAATATTTTTTTCATGGATTTTTAAAGTGTTTAAGATAAGGAACACTAATGATATTTTCATGTTTTCTTTCATCTCTTCTCTCATACACAGGATTAGTCTTACGTTAAAATTGAAATTTACTAATTGCTAGTTTTGCGGCTTTAAGTTAATTTAATTTGTTAAATGTAAAAATATTCTTGCCGCTTCGAAATTATTGTGAAACCAATTATATAATGGTAGAAAAAGAAATTTAATATACAATGATATTTAATTATTTATTTTGAATAAAACTCTTTTTTTTTAATCATTTTATTTTCTTTTGAAAAAAAGTATGAAAAGCAATTTGAATGCCATCGACATTTAGAATTTGTTTTCAAAATATTTGATAATTTTATGAGTTCCAATGCACAATATCTTAAGAAGTTTGCCTTCTCTATATGAAACATATGATCCATCAGTTCCTTAGGGATTACTCTTTTTTTTTGTTCTTGTTTTTGTCAGTCTTAGTTTATAACACCATGTGAATTCACTTTTTTAGGCATGTTTATTATAGGACCCTTATAGTAAGAAAAAGCTATTTTGTCTCTGTTTCATTATTTTTGCTTAACCTTTTATATAACCATTTTTTTCCTAGTAATATTATATTAAAATATTTTTTGGGGATTAATTGAGATTGATTTATAGAACGAAATTCATTTAGCGTTTTACCTAAAGTTAATTTGCATTTTGAGACCATTTTTTTATGGAAGGGTAGTTGAATAACTGTAAAGAATTGGTGTAAACTATTACTTTAGCACTTATTAATAACCAAACTTCTATGACTACAAATAGATTGGATGATAAATGGGCAAGTGAATGAACACATAAAACACTCGAGAAAATAGCCTCTCTTCTGATCCCACGCTAATCTTTTCTATTGATCACATTTATGTCAACAAAATCCTCATTGGTGTATATATTCTTTTTCTTATTTTATATTTTCGGAAGTTATCAGCAGAAGGCCCAATAAATCATTAAAATAGCTTCTAATAGACATTGAAATTTTAATAAAATTGGGAAAGAGTATACTTCATGCGATCTTATAAAGGGTATCAGTATCCAATTGACTCTTTTTTGCTTATGATAAATAAATGGGCTGGAATAGCCTGCTTGTCAGGGCACTGGACTCGTGTTCATCATGTTCAAATCCGCCAGCTGATGATTCCTCGTGTACAAGATGGTGACTTGTGCACATTAAATCTTCCAGGTCACAAAGTCCTCCATGTTCCAAAACAAATTATACCTTTGGGGTATTGAATTGAAGATTGATTGCTCTCTGGTTCAGTTAAAAATTATGATCTGTGGATGTATGAAGGGATCTTCTCTATAAACGGGTGGGACGTATGGGTGTGGCAGAAGTTAAAATCTTGGTCATAGATGGTGCCACTGGAAAACAAGAACGATCGCACTCCTTGACTTAATGGCCCACAACAACAAATAATTTGTAATTTTGAGTAATTTTCTTCGGTTATAGTGGTACTTAGTATTTTGTATGATATAACATACTTAAATGTTCATTGTGTTATATAAAGCAGTTTTTGTGGATTAGTATGTCAGTCGTTTAATGTTTTTTTATCAATTTTCTAGAAGAGTCTTTAAATGTTATAACATTCATGCGATTTAAGTTAAAGGGGTCATTTTTGAAAAGTTGATCTAGTGAACTAATGAGAAATTTGCATTAGGGTTATCATACGGAGCAATATTCCGTTGATGCCGATTTAGAAGTTCTACCTCTTTTAGATAAAGTGGTAGCAAAATATCTATTATGCTTGATTACTTTGCTTTCACTTATACTCGATTATCTCACTGCAAGATGTTCGGACCATTTTTATCTCCACCACATTCTATCACCACCAGAGCATCTCCACCATATTAGAATATTTTTGAACCCTGGCTGCCATCTTTGTTGTCTAGCAGATCAAATTCATCAATACCACCTCCGTAAATGTACATCACTTTTTGGCAACTCTAACTTTTAAGGCAATGACTTCAGTCATTTTCACAATTGCTCTTCCTTGTTACTTTTGTGCTTCAATGCTTTTGTATTTGTGTATTTTGTATAAAAAAATATCATGTTTGTTAGATTGAGCATATTTTTCATAAGTGGGTGAATTGAGAAAAAGCTCTACTTTCTCAATCTTTTCATTTAAATTGATAAAACAGTTGAAGTTAACTTTAAAAAAAAACCTATTCTAACAGTTATAAAGTTAATAGCTGAACGTTATTAATTAATTATATTAGATGTTAAGTTTCTAATTTTTATTCTGTTAATTAGGCCAGCGGAGAAGCACAGGAAGTTCTTTCTTGGCGTGAAGGACCAGTTAAATTTTTAAAACTCTTGTCTTCACCAGAATCTGGTTTGTAAATTTAAATTCTTAAAAAAAAAATTTTTGCCTATATTTTGTATTTGGTTTAATTAAGAAATAATTGATTTATGATTATAATAATGAACTGATTTTTTTTTTAAAAAACAATTCTGTAATGACTTACCATGAGTTTTTTTTAGAAAATTTTTTATTGAAGATTTATTTTACATGAGTTTTCATAAACTTAGATGTTTTCAAATTACTATAGATTTCTTAAGCATGGAAAAATCAGCATATATTTATTAGTATTTCATGTAAAAAATCCAAGGAAATAATTGAGTTAAATTATTTTTCTTTAATACAGGAAATTTTCATCCCTTTTTTCTTTTAATATGATGCTAAAAGTAGTTTTTAAATTTTGATTTTCAGCAAATGTTTTATTTATATTTGTTTTTATAATATAAAATAATTATTTAGATTTGGTTTGATTATATTATTTAATACTCTGTTATTTAATAATCTTTTTCTAAATGCAATGAATATTGTTTTATGGTTTTAGTTGTGTTTCGTATAGTGAAAATTTAAAAGTGACTGTAAATTCATTTTAGCTCCATCTTTAAAGGATCGTTTTGTTGCTAATCGTCCTTTGGTTGCCATATGTGATAGCACTAGGTAAAAATCCATTAATAATTTCTTTTTATTGCTTCATTCACTTTTTCAGGGTTTCTTGTTGTATTTGTTCAGCTTCACATTTTTATTTATTAATAAAATAAAAAGTGTTAAATTGTCAAGTTGTTGACTGGATTTTTTTGATGAAAATTTGAGTTATTTGTTATATATTAAAAATATTGTTGAGCAGCTTATGGTAGCATTATTTATTGAAATGTATATTTTTATTTTCTTTTTTTCCAGCGCTGGAGAGCAATTTTGCTCTCTTAATTTTATCTCATTAAAATCTGGAGACAGAGTTGATTGTATTAAATTTTCAAGTCAAATAGCGGATGTAAAATGTTCTAAAAGGTAATTTTTAAAAATTTCTTTTCTATCCCTCCTTTCTTAAGTATAAAATTGTTTCCTATGTTAAACTTTTATTTTATAGTTTTCTTTGTATAAATTGAAAATTTTAACCTTTCACAGACCACAAATTTTGTTCCAACATTAGTTTAAGAAATCAAAGAGAAAAAAAAATTTACAGCAAATAAAATTTTTAACTAATCAAATACAAAATCTGAAATCAAATAAAGCACTTGTTCTTAAAATATAATTGTCTGTTTTAAATTTTTTTGATCATTTTTGTGTTTTAATGTTTCTTTTAAACAATTCACTCATAATTGAAAATTATGCTGATTATTTTGCAATTTTTAAAAGCTTTTCTTCGCATATGGATTAATGTTGCTTTAAAGTCTAAATTTTGAAGTGGAATGTTTTTATAGTCTTGCACTCCACTAATTGTCTCTTTAAGTTTTTAATGTTTATAAAATAGTAAATTCATTAGTTATTAAACCAGTTTAATTATGGTTATAAAATAGTTCTTCCTTGGCATATTTGTAAGCATAAATTACAAGTAAGTACTAATACAAATTGTATTTTCTATTTAATTGTTACAGTAAATTGTTAAGAGTTTTTTTTTTCCTAATCAGTTTTCATATTTTATGCAATTTTTAGAGTCATTGCTGTTGTTTTTCAAAACAAAGTAGTAGTTTTTGATGCATATACACTAAAGGAGACTATTCAAATCACTAGTAAGTGTTAATATTATGATCTTGTAATGGAATAAAAAAAATGTATTTTGTTTATATTTATTAACATCATATATATTCAATTATTGTGTTAGTTTCAAAGTATTCTGGCTTCTAATTATCATCATTAATTTTAAGTCTTGTTTTATCTTGAGATCGATACATTTCATCCCCATCCAGCTCTTATGCTGTAGAACAATAAATCCGATGTCAATTATCTGACGCATTTCAAACTCATTTTTTTTTATAATGACCTTTGGTATATCCTGCTCTTTTTTTTAAATACTTTTTTGTTAGGGGAGGGGCAGAGGGTCATTAAGTATTCTAGTATGCAACTAATGGAACATTAATAACTATGCAAGCTGGATTTATTATTTACTGTAAATATTTTGTCCAATCAAAATTACCTATATTTTTAGAAATCTTATATAATTTTTTTGCAAGTACACAAGTTCTTATCTTTAATACTTTTTTCTAGGAATGAATAGTTTAAGTAAAAAATTATGATTTTTTCAATATTGTTATGTTGTTTAGAAGAATATCATTGTTTTTGTGTAATTTATAAGGAATATTTTTGTATAATACACTCATTATATATTTTAAGCAATAGTTGAAATAAATTTTTATGTATTTAAAAACAATGTTAAATAATCTATCCAAAATTGTTAACTTCATAACTTTATTGCTTTATATTATAAGGAAAAGTTCTATCGAAGTCCTAAATGTTATCATACACTACCTTTGCCAACCCAATAAAGAGGTACTTTTAAAACTCACCTTTTTAATAGTTATGTTGTCAAATAATAGTTTATAAACAAGCAAAAAAACACAAGGATTGTCTATAAATGATGTCACACTTAAAGGGTGACGAGAAGTGTAATAACAAGACACATATTATTGGAATAAAAGCACATTTTATTTGAATAAAAACACATTTTATTGGAATAAAAATACATTTTATTGGAATAAAAATACATTTTATTGGAATAAAAACACATTTTATTGGAATAAAAGCACATTTTAATGGAATAAAAATATTTAAAGTCATTGGATTAAATATTTTTATGTTATTTATTTTTGCAATTTTCATGTTTTTTAAAGTAAACTCACAATCATCATTTGTTCTGTTACACTCACAAATGTCATTAAAGCAGTTTAAAAATAAAATGGTAAAGAGATAATTCACATAAGGTTGTGGTTTGTTTACTGTAAGTATATTTTTATGTAATATAATGTGTCATTTAAGGGACATGCTGAAGTGTGGCATTTATTGGCTAAGAGTAGGAGAGGGATCAAAGATATTGAGAAAAAAAAGTGGGACATCAATTTTGGATGGCCCATTTAAGAAACAAAAATGACCCAAGATAGGGTGGGAAGAACATGCTTAAAGGGTATGTAAGAGGAAAAGATTGGAAAGCACTTTTTTAAAATAAACAGGAATAGCAATTGTAGTTTTTAAGTTTTAAGAATTTTTAAATACTATTATTTCTAGTTATTAGTAATTTTTGTGTAATTTTGAAATTTATATTTAAACTTTTTTTTTTTTTTAAAAAAAGTTATAAATGCATTTAAGATTTGATTTTTATTTATTATTTTTTTAAAATACATTTTAGGCTGTTATACAACTCCAGGATTTGCTGTTAACCCTGTTGCTTTAGGAACAAGATGGGTTGCATTTGCAAACAAAAAGGCAAGATAATAATTAGCTTATGTGTGTAATTTTAAACATTTAAAAGAAAAAAATACTGGTAGTCAAAATGCAAATTGATTAAAAATCTTCTTAGTATTTACTCTTTTAAAAATTAGTCTTTTCAACTCACAGACTTATAATTTTAGTTATTTCTCAATTTAATGTACAGTGAAGAAATTTATTGCGTACATATTATCTGTTTATTCAAATATGTAAGGAAATGTTGAGGAAAACAATTTTATTTTAATGCTCTTCTTCCTTCGTAAATGTTATTTTTTTTAAACAAAAAGTTTTAAAGCTTTTTTTTTTGTGTGCTTAATTTCTAAGTTCCTTCTTTCATTTACTTTTGATCATTGGAATCAAGCATCAAATATTTAATCTATCTCTTGTTACTTATTTGAATAGACTTTTTCCTCTTTTTTTTTTTTTAATTTGATGTATCTGTAAAATTAAAATCCAATGTCATAATTGCTTATAAGAATTAACTAAGCCATGTCAGTTATAGAAATTAGCTATCAGTTTGGTTGAAAATTTCGATCAAATTATCTATCAAATTGAAATCCAATGTCATAATTGCATATAAGAATTAAATAAACTATGTCAGTTATTGGCGTTAGCTATAAGTTAGGTTGAGATTTCTTTGAAGTTATCAAATTATCTATTATTGGATTGAAAATTTCTTAAAAATTATTTTACAATGTAATTTTATGTGAGGATATGTTAAGTACGATGATGTGATATATGACTGTATTAAATATGTTTACTTTATCCTAAAATAATTGCAATTTTGAAGTTATTTCATTCATTATATCACTCATATGTTACATGCTATTGTCTTTTTCTGTGATTTAAAATAAAAATAGTGATATTAAATTTTTTGTTTTGTTTATGTTTAGTATGTTGTTTAAAAAATTAACTTTAAAATTATAGCTGGTGTCAGTTCATCAGAGTGGAGGTGGAATGGCTGGAGATGGTGTGCAATCCTATGCTGCAACAATTATCCATGCTGCCAAGGTAGTCATTCTATCTTTATCAAAAAGCTTTCATTATCAGTAAGCTTTTATTTTTGTAAGAAAAAAAAGCAAGTATAGTTGTAATATGTGGTCAGAAATAATGTCAATCAGTTTTGCTTAAATCGTCATTTATATTATACTTAATGTTCCTGGGACTGCGTTTTTGTAACAATAGAGTTGAAGACAATTAAAAACAAAAGTTTTCAGAATATTTGGTAATTTAGCCTATATTTTAGAAACCTCACTACGACAGAGAACAGAGTGACGGTTTTTTATGAATTTTTTAATCATTTGCATGTAGTGGTGTGGAAAATAATGTTAAATTGATAATGTAAAATTTATATTATGTGATAATTATATTCATGTGAAATTTATGAAACTGTTAAACATACATTAAAATATTTACTTAGAAATTTGGAAATTGGAAAAACTAATTCAAAAAGTGTTGACTTTTCTATATGATGGATAGTAATATTTTTATCATGTTTCTAATTGTAAACATGTTTCTTAAAATTCATAGATTATAGAAATGTTTAAATTCTTTTCAAATTTTGTATGCAATTATTTTATTAAACATTATTTTATTGTTTTAAAATATTAAGTGGCTATAATCTACATGATTGCATGACTACTGTAGGAAAAGTAAGGGTGATACCATTTTAAGTTTGAAAATAACTTATTTTTTTAAATTTAATGATGTTTTATTTTTATTATCTCAAGTACTTTAATAATGCAAAGCTGTATTATGAGCTAGCACTTAATGCATTAGCAAAAGCAAAACTTTACTTACATTTTGCTAAAGTATTATACATAAAAACTAATAATTTAAAAGGTTATTAATTATTATATTTATTATTTATAATGATAAATAGCATTTCATATGAAGTTTATAAATCATTTCTTTAGCATTTTCTCTTATCACTTATTGTTATGTTTAGAAAATACTTTTTTACTTGTATACTTTTCATTTGTATGCTTATTTTTTAAAATGTATTTAGTGCCATTGGATTAACAAATTACATTGAATTCTTTTACATGCTAAAGTGATTTGAAATTTAAAGCTGTTACGTTTCTGCTGCTTTATTAATACATGCTTAGATTAATTAATACATGAAATTAACATCCATGATTTTTTATTTGTATCTATTTTTTCCCCATGTGCTGGAAATTTTAGACAATTACCAAAGGTTTAACTATGTTTGGAGAAACAGTAGCAAGTAGCCTTGGTGGTCCAAAGCTTGGAAGTAAATCATCTACTGTGAAAAATGATCCAAAAAATTCAAAAGATAGTCAACCTGGAATTGTTACTATTCTAGATACTCTTGCTGTTAATGGTGAAGTAAGCTGAGAAATAATTTTCTTTATGTTGAGTTAGCTTATTGTTAAAAAAATTCCATTACCTTGTTTATGCTGCCAGTTATCTTTTAGCTACAGATAGCAATGTTATATTTAATTACTATCCGGTTATAATCACATGCTATGAGCACAATGGTCAAAGTCATTAGAAAAAAAAAGATGTTTTGTTCCGATCACATCGGGGCAATTTCAAGTTTGTTAAAGTATTTATTTTTAGGGGATATCATATCAATTAAAATATTTTCAATAACTTATGTACCACATCAAAGTTTTAGCTCCATTTAATTTCGCTTCCTTCAGCAAATAATTACCATAATTAGTTTTACTGTGAATTTGGAGAACATCAAAGTTTTAGCTCCGTTTAATTTCGTTTCCTTCAGCAAATTTGTTTTACTGTGAACTTAGAGAACATCAAAGTTTTAGCTCCATTTAATTTCGTTTCCTTCAGCAAATTTCTTTTACTGTGAACTCAGAGAACATCAAAGTTTTAGCTCCATTTAATTTCGTTTCCTTCAGCAAATAATTACTATAATTTGTTTTACTGTAAGCTTAAAAAACTTACATTTAAAAAAATAAATAAATAAAGCTTTGGTAGTGAATTGTTAACTGTTTCCCTTACCAATTTTTTTAAAAAAAGAATGCAACAAAAAAAAATCAACACATTTTTTTTTATTTCATTAATAAATGCAGAGAACTAAAACAAAACATAATACACAAGTTGAAATTTTAAATTTTTTTGTGTGTGAAAAACATATAATTTACCTATCCCAAGTTATCTGGGGAAAATGAAAAAATTTAAAGATTAGTCATCATCTGATAGTTTTTAAAACAAGGGACACCACAAAGTGATAGTATCCAAATACAAGTAAAGTGATACGCCATTTTTTTACTCTCTTTTTTTTCTATGTAAATTCAGCAACCATTATATGCAATCGCACAAAACACTTGTACAGTCCTACAATCCAACAGCAAAACTTTGCAAACTTCCAGTCGCAGCAGTTTATTAAGAATTTTTTTTTTGCTTCCGACTAAGTAAAAATGTAATAAAGCAAAACGTACTGACAAATTCTGCTACACCTGAGTTTTCTCGGGATAATAAATATTTGCAATGCCCCGGGTAATTTGGGATAATCAGGGAAGCGATTAAGAGTAATTTTAAAGGCAGATGGTCAATGGAGATAGAGAATAATAACTGATTACAGTTTGTTCGATGCCTATTGGTTTGAATTCTACGTTGGTTCGTTTGATAACAAATGAATAAAATAACTAATGGACTGTATTTCAAATTTTATTTTCATTGGTGCTACAAGCATGCTCCAGCTATAAGATCAACAACCAATTTTCAACTGTTATGGTTACAAGAAACGGTGGCGAGGATGCTAAGACAAAGATGCCAAATTGGCGCTATATTTCTGAGATATTGAACACTATTTTCAAATGAAAGCGTCTTTTATTTGAAAGTTAAAATGAATTTTTTTTCTAAGATAAAATTAATTTTAAAATAAAGAATTTATTTACTTTCCTTTTTAACATTCAGAATTCAATTATTATAATAATTTCAATTTATTTCTTGGAAATAATTTATTTTTATGTTTAACCTGAAAAGGAATCTAACTTAGTTATTATTTTAGTATAGGCTTGTTCTATTATTATTTTAATATTTATGCTACTTCAGATAGTAAATCTATTTATATTTATTCAATTATCAGTTTGGAGTTAACTAGGGAATAGTTTTCATGAATAGATTTAAATGTCCGTTTACTATTATTAGTATTATTTCTTATAATACGAAATATGAATGTGACGGTAGTAGGGGACAAATTTAGTGCAAACTTTTTTTTTAAAGAGCTATCTGTGTTATTTTTTTAAATAATATGTTCATTGATGTAATTTTTTGAAAGATCAAATTATTGTTTAATTATCAACAATAATTGAATATTGTTTATCTTTTTAAGGTTAATATTGATGAAGACAGTGAGGGAGATGGCATCATTGCCCATTTTCCTGCCCATGCTAATGAACCAGTTGCTGCTTTAGAGTTTGACCCAAGCGGCATGCTTTTATTCACGTCTTGTCGATTAGGCCACAGCTTTCACGTTTTCAGAATATTTCCACATCCTGCTAGCTCAGCTATGGGTGCAGTGCACCACCTCTATACTCTGCATCGTGGTGAAACAACATCTAAAGTAATTTTTATTCAACATTATACTGAAGTTTTAATTTATTTAAAAAGGGTGCTATACAGGGGCGGATCCAGAAATTTTTCCTGGGGAGGGTCATAGATTCATCCCGACAATTAATATTTTTATAAAAAAAAATTTTTAAATATTTTTTTTGAAAAAAAAAGGGGGGGGGGGTTTAATGCTAGTCTTCTCATTTATTTTTTTCATAATTAGCAATAGAAGAATACATAAATAATTCAAGTATTCAAAATCTTAAAATAATAAATGTAATGCGTTTTTTTTTTTGGAAACTTTGGCAGGTGCAATCTTCGGTTAAACCTATTGAAGCGCGCTTCAACATTATTAATGTTTACAATGAAACTATGACGAATTTCGTTTTAATCTTTTGGATTATGATTCTTGAAACAGTGAAGAACATAATTAGATGGGAAAGAAATTGCTTTTTCCGACCTATCTAGGTGTATATGCCCCCTTAAATAATTTTTAAAATATTTAATTTCTTTTGTAAACTGTTAATGAAATTATTATTTTTTCTTCTATTTTTTGGGCGGGGTGGTCATGACCTCTATGCCCCCCCCCTGCTGGATCCGCCACTGGCGCTATATAGCAGGAGAAAATTTTCTAAGCAAATTAGGCTTCTCCTCTATTGGTAATTTAAAATCTAAAGTTATAACTTTTTATTTATTGGAAAAATGGAATTCTTGCAAATGTAGAATAAATTTAAAAGGCATAATGCATACTATGTTAAAAAAGGATAAAATTTTAAACATATATTTATTAACCTAAGCAAAACAGCGTTAGATAATCATGTCAAACATTAAATTGAATCACAAATGCTTTCCTTTTTAAGAAACTAGCATTTTTTGACATTGACATTTTGCACCATTTTCATTGTTGGCATAGAGTGTTGGGTATAAATCAAAACAGTTATTAGTTTAAAAAAACATTATTTCATTTAAGGAAATAGCCTATGAAAGATCACACTTAAGAACTGTGTATTTAAAGCTATATATTTGCTCAGTTTCTTGCAATGCTGCCAAAGAAGTCAACTCTGCATGTAATACAACTGTTATTGAACTCTTGACTTGTACCACATTATTAAGTTCATATTTTTTAAATTTCTGTAATTCTCTGTTTTGGAAAGTCAATTTGTAGTCAATTTATTTCCGAACAATTTTTTTTTACATATTAAAATGGCTTGTTTGATGCAAATGGTAATTAATTTGTCAGTTTTTATTGATTACTTAACATATCTTTAGGTTGAAATTGATAATGTAAAATCCTGATCTTCAGATCAAAAGTTATATTGAACATTTTGTTTTGCATCACTCTACATTTAAAGTTTCAGATGAAAAACTTTGCTAGACAAAAAGTAATAAAACAATCAAGATTATTACATAATGTTAAATTAGGGAAAATAGTCTATGGGATTAAATTTTCCATTTCTAGCTAAAATTGTTTTGTTTGTTCATTTATTTCTGTTGAACATCAAACTTATTGTTAAAATCTGGCAAAAATTTATATAAATAGCACTAAATTAATCTTTCAGCAATGTGCAAATTTACTGTGAGAGATCATATTATCATTCATCACTAAGCTACTTTTATGTAAAGCGTTTTATTTCGTTATATTTAAGCTATATATCATAAATAGATACTTAATTATAATTTTTACTATATTTCCATAGGTCCAAGATGTTGCCTTTTCCTTAGATAGTCGCTGGATCTCAGTAAGCACTATGAGGGGTACTACTCACATTTTTCCAATTACTCCATACGGCGGTAAATAACTGTCTTTGCTAACCTTCAACTTTTTTTACCCAAGAATGTTCACCTTTTTTTTCTCATTTAAATTGTTTCTTAAACAGGACCAATTACAGTCAGAACACATACTTCCCCAAGAGTTGTAAATAGATTAAGTAGATTTCACCGAAGTGCCGGTTTAGAGGAAATTCAACAATCTCCTTCAACTGGAAGAAACAGTCCTGTGCTTTCTGGCAGTCCTAGCTCTTCTGGTATTATTAGTGTTTTGTTATTAATTTAAAATCGTGGGATAAATAATTTTAATTTTCAGAATTTGTTTTATTAATTATTTTGGTTTTTCTTAGTAACTCTATTATTTTTATTTGTTAATTAGATAATGTTTTCATTATGATTGTTTATCCTCTAATTGTTGAGTTCCTGGTAAAATTAATCTGAAATTTCTCTGTGGGCACTACATTTTCATGGAATAATATGGGGAAAGCTGGTTTTTTAATAAGAAAAGCTTACATTTGAAATTTCAGAGAAAATTTCGACCAACGGTCAGCATGTTAAAGTTTACGTAGGTGAGCCTTAAGTTTTTATTTTCGCATGTATATATGATATCATTAAATGCATAACTACATAGACCTTAAACTCATATTTAATATTCAAATTCTTCTCCCTGCTCGCACAGACCACAATGCTGACATAAATATACCCTCAGTGATAGACGGATCATGGGTTAGAATTCCCTTGCTTTCGTTTCCATGTAGCGCAAACGCGGTTAGTTCCATCAAAAGTTCCTCTGTGAAGTCTCGCTACTTAATCCAGGAGTTCCCTTGTTTTCTGGATTTGGTTCAAAATTACAAGGCTAGGAAGTTTAATATTATTAGTCGTAAACTCAGAATTGGGTCGGCTGTTCAATACGGGTTATAAAATGTAACATAAAACTCATATTCAAGATTGGACTTATGGGTATTAGTTGTTGACAATTTTTAAAAATGTAAACAAAGATATTAGTCATAGAGTTTTTAAAGAAGGATTTTTTTTTGAATGAATACAAATTAAAAAATGTTTCGGCAATTATTATCGATTTTTTATCCTATTGAATCTGTATGCTTGAAGAATGCTAAAATTCCACATTTTCTTGTAAATTCACTTTTTTAATTTCTCTTTAAAAATTTCCTTTAAAACACTTTTGTATTTTCTCCAGCCAATTTTATATTACATCATTCAAAGAGAGAAATAATTAAAAATAATTTTCATAATTTTCAATACTTTTTTTCCCAATATGGTTTATTTTTAGCATATTTATTTTATTTTTCATTATTCTTGTATATAAATGACATTATCTTCTTATCAGATTATAATCTGCAGCCATTTTTCAAAACTGGCATTTTTTGTTTTTCATTGAATTTCAATTTCTTACTACACTTGACAAATATGCATTTTTATTGAAATTTGAAATTATTTATAGCAACATGAAAGATGGTAACAGAAATGCCACTTAAGTCTAAAATTTGATTTATACTTTTCAGCAACTACAGATTTATTTTAGAATTAGACTACAAATAGACAATAACTGCAGATTTACTTAGATTTCAAATTATGTCATTAAAATAGTTAAAAATGATAGTATTTTACTAAAATCTTAAGATAAGAGTGCTCAAATCCGTTAATTAGCTGAATGCACAAGTTCAGCTGTTTATTCATGTCATAGTCCATCCTATGGACTTTTGAGAAATAGGGTTATAGATATCTTCCTGAGCATGGGCTTTAATAGATATTTTAAAGAGATTTTTAATAGTACTGAAACGCATATGACGAGAAATTTTTTGCATAATTAGAGCACCCTTTTTAGCCAGGATGTCAGCTTTTTCATTGCCTGGAACTCCACAGTGGGCAGGAACCCACTAACGCCTAAAAGTACTATAATATTCTCAAGTGATGCCAGGTCTTTAAGATGATAAGTACAATCCAATATGTACTGTGTTGTGGGATTATTATCAGAAACGATAGCCAACAGAGTTGCTCTAGAATCACTGAAGATAACACCCCTTGTGATTTTTTTCTAATTGTATTATAAAAAGTTTTAATAAGCTTATAGTAAGTGGTATTATTATAAATTTTTAATGGCATTATTTGGTAAATTATCCTTTATTTTTTAGCAAGTAATTTGGCTAGGTGCTCTAGAATCGCTGAGGATAACAGCCCTTGTGATTTTTTCTAAGCTTATTATACAATGTTTTAATAAGCTTATAATAAGTGGTATTATTATATATTTTTAATGGCATTATTTGGTAAATTATCTTATGTTTTTTAGCGAGTAATTTGGCTAGAGCTTATGATACTCATCCAAGCATGGCTTATCAGACTGGCGTAATGAGCCGTATGGGTAACTCAAGATTGCCCCCTTATCCTCATCCTACGACTATCCAACCTTTGGCACAGTTAAAGCAAGTCATTACATTTCCTCTGGCCGGAGGAGCCGCTCCTAAAAGTCCCGGGAAGGAAAAAACTTACAAAAGAAATTCTCTGTCTTCAGAAATTATGTGTGTGTCTTCTGCATTTGCACCACCACGTGCTTGGCTGGTCGGTAGTCCTAGTTTAACACGTGATAAGAGAGGTAAGTGCAATATTCTGTTATGAGAATTCTTATTTTATTTTTATTTGTTTTTGTTTATTAGTTTATCTTTTGTATTTCACGTTGTTGTAAATAAAGCAACAATGAAGGATATATCCTTGGTAGAATTTTATTACCTATCCTAGTTGTTAATAGCCCAAACTTTGTATGTTGATAAAGCAGTAACATAAGTAATGCAAATTTAAGGTTAAGAGCCATTGATAGAATCAAGCTAAACGGGTGACAGATAGTTGTGTACTGAACTTTTTCCAACAAATTTAAGTTTTTTTTTCTTCCATTTAATAATAAAAATGACTAAAATTTGTCATACATATTCATTTAATTCAACCAATTAAGAAAACTAATATTTCCTTGACAAACTTGAAGTTCGATTAAGCATTTATAACCAGTAAATTTATTCATTTTTAAATTTAATTGTTAAATTAAATTTTACAGCAGAGAGCACTTTTGCTAGAGATTAAACCTAAAAGCATCTGAAAATGCAGTCTATTGTAAGAAAATATTTTTTAGTAGCCAAACGATTTGTAGGCATTCTAAATAAGATTGCATCATCGTTAAAAATATTTTTTTATTCTGTTTGCGAAAGTTTCAGAGCAATCTTTCAAAATCTTGTAAGCTGAGGCACACATGTACAGCTTAGCAGGAACATTAATTGTAAATATTGACTTAAGACTTCAACCAACTAGGATTGGTTAAACCCTATTTTTAGTAGTGATATGTAGTAGCGATTGAGATACTTAGGGGTTCAACCAACTGGGACTGGTAATCCGTATTTTATCTTTCATTCTTGCACTATCTGTAACATAAGATTTCATCTTTGCCATTGTTTGCCATAAGAATTTTATACTTTTATTTTTTGTCTGTGATTATTTAGTTGGTCTATCACACCTTGAAGAAATGAGTATCAAATAAAAGTGTTTTGTAAAAGTTATTTCAATTATGTACTTTAAGAATTTCAAGTAATCTTTTAAGTTCAAAAATATGTCGATTTTGTGCTGTCAACATAAAAAAAGAAGAAAAAAATTTTTTTTTTGCTTACATGTAGCAGCTAACTTAACTTTAAGATGCTGGTAAAGCAAATAATATTAATCTTCTACCTATTTGTATTGTACGCGAGGTGCAGTTTTTCTATTGTGAAAATGACCAGGAATAAAATAAATTTTCTGTGTCTGAAAGCAACCAGGTTGTAACATCATTGACTATATCTGAAATGAATGCAACTCAATTTGAAAGAGATAATAATTTTTGTCAACTGCAAACTACAAATATAATACGCTAGTAAACACAAAATAATCTCTTTTTTCTTTCTTTTTTTAAAACAAATTCAAGAATAAACAATTTTTTCTAAATCTCATTGTTTAATTCAACTTCTAATTGTGGCATCATACCATTTTTCATCATGCAAAAATATAACTTCGATTGTCGCAGCTTAAAAATCCTCAAAATGGAGTTAAATTAAAATAAAGAAATTATATGTATATGCCATTGAATGACCAAAATCAAGAGAATGTCGACATATATTTATACAGGGATGAGATTTTTCCACTTTTAAACGGATTTCCGCCTTTTTCGCTTTTGTCTCTCAAATTTCAGCCTTTTTTATCAAGAACTCCGATTCTCTAAAAGTTTGTTTTTTTTAAATAAATATTTCGCCTTTTCTGAAAGTTCAGTCATTGAAATAAAATAATTATATTTATTTCCGATTTAATATATAGATATAATATATCAAAAGATGTATAGAAAATTCAAACTACGTAGCTGCCAACCCTTCCACAAATGTACTTATTATAGCTATTAGCTTTTATGAGCAGAAAATAAGATTTTCCTCATTTTTACCCGTCCGCTAGATAGCTCGTATTTTCGTAATCCAGACGTCTCTGAATTTTAATATCAAACATCGATTTTTGTATTTACCTGATTTAAAAGTTGCAATTCTTATTCACGCGATTTCAATATCGTTCATTGCAATTCTTATTTACGAGATTTAAAAATCCAATATCCCGATTTGTATTGAGGCGTTTTTAAAATTCTATGTAACAATTCGTATTCACGCGAGTTTATCCAATTTTGTGATTCGTTTTTGCTGTTGTAATATCCAACATCTATTTTCGTATTTACACGTGATTTAAAAATTAAGCTTTGGATTCATATTGATGCGATTTAAAAATTATGCATCGTGATTCGTATTTACGCGATCTGAAAATTACGCATCGTGATTTGTATTTTCACATTTTTGAAATCCAATATTGAGTTTCATTCACGTGATTTCGATATCCTGATTTATATTCACGCGATTTTAAAATCCAAGATCGCTATTCTTGCAAAAAGTACGTTTTTTTCTTGAATTAGTTATTATAAATGTGGAAGTTTTTCTATCGACGATTATTGCTATACGTAGGCATTACAACATCAGCGAAACTGGATGAGAATATTGTTACTGGTATTTTTGCTCTAAATCACGATTTACTCACGTGAAAATTCAGCTTTTTTGCCTTTTGGCCAATCTCATCCCTGTTTATAGGACTGTTTCTTTTTTTTACCGAATATGAAGTAAATATAATGAGGAATAGTTTATAATTAAAAGTAGGATGATCTCCCACCTCCCCCAATATAGCAGTTCTATTAATAATATGAGGAAAACATATCACCCGATAATATTCTTATAGTATTTTATTGGAATTTCAAGTTTTGATTACCATAGGTAATTTTTTATTTTACACACCATGTCATGCACTACAATAGGTTTGATCCAACCTGTAAACATGCCAAACACGCTTAACTGGTTAAAGGGTTGCAAAATAGGGTAATAATCTAGTGAAAAATATGCTGCAACTCATGTACTTGACTCTCAGCATTTATAAGTTATGAACTTGAACTTATTATGAGAATGTTGAGTTAAAGTTAGATACTTTAGTTTTAAAAAATGCTACCAGGGAAAGCTGTATACGAAAAAGGAATACTGCTAACCATAACCGTTTAAAGTCTTTTAGTTTTTCTGAAGTTAAAAATGTTTATTTAATTTTTTAGAAATGATTTTTTGCATAATGTTTTTTTTTCTTCCTTTATTCAGATAAACCAGCTATGGATTCCCTCTTCATTATCAATTGGATGGGGATTTTAACAGAATATGTTATGGAACCAAGACCATCCTCCACTGCACCAAAAACCGATGATTCTCCTATAGAGTTAGAGGTCACTGCTCATGCTCAGTGGAATCTTTTGAGGTAAGCATTCTGAGAATAAATCAAGTTTTAATAAAGACTGATTGAAATGATCCAAACAGAAAATATACATATCATTATAAATGACTACTTGCTTAAAAAAAATAATCTTTTGTGATAATGTTTAAAATTACTAAATTTTGTTACTTAAGGAAAGATATATATTTTATAGTTATGAAAAGGACTTGGACCTGAAGCTTGGTTTGTTTTTATAAATGTATTGTATTATGCAACTTTCCTAATAATTTTAAAATTGCACATTATTTAGTCCGCAGTCATCTTTGCATATTAAATTTCTCATTATATGGTATATTAAAAAGATTAGAAGTAATTACAAAAATTTGGATTTAAAAGAAAAAAAATTAAATAAAAATGCATTGATATGTTGTTGTGTGAATAAATAAAATTAATGTATTTCATGTTACAAGATCCATTGTTTAATCATAAAAAGTGTAATAAATTGTTCATTTAAAAATATGAACCCTTTATAAAATTATTACGAGTATAGTTAGGCTTTGGCAAGGAAATTTTCTTCACTTTAAGTTTACTTCATAGATGCTGTCAAAAAAAAAAGTATTCTATTTTGTTCGGGGAAATTTCAATCATTTCAAAAGGGCCCTTTTAGATTAGTTTGTGCAAAATTGTATGATGATAAACAGTAAAGCTCTTCACATGTCTTGCCATGAATCACATCATTGCAATCACTGACTAAAGCTATGCTGATATTTTTTTCATTAATCAAATTTTAGTTACTGTCTAAGGTTAGGAGGTTGCTGAAGAATTTGCTCTTGTTCTTTTTTGCACTCTTGTCCTCTAAATACTTATACTTGTTTTATTAGTTAGTCAAATTACTTCAAGATTGACAAACTTGTTTATGTTAGCCTGAAAAACTTAAAATATGGTTTCTGTAAGAGCTCCAGTGGCACAGTCAGTTACTGCCAGTGAAGAAAGCTGGGTGTGAAGAGTTCGGCCATGGCAACCAACTGGTGTGTGTATGCATGATAAATCTATCAAACTTCTCCCGTTAAGTGTTGTGGAAGTTTGAACAAAGAGACAGCGAGAGAGGTACCAGCGTAGTTGCTGTCCATGTCTTATGACTGGGGTAAAAATTACATAGCATTCCTGCCTTGGCTTTTGAAAGATAGTGCCCTAAAAAATTGAGCTAAGTGCTTGATGTTGTGAGTTTGCTTGGGCATTGTGAGTTTCTAAGCAAGAAATCAGCAGTAAACACAACTNGTATAGTTCGAGTACGTGAACTCAAAAATAAGGATTTACTGAATGAATTTTGATAAAAAACTGATTTCTTGAAGATATCTCTATTACCGATATTTAAACTCCATTAATAATTTAAAATTTATGGTAAAACAAAAAATGATTTCATAAAACCTTAGAGTAAACTATGAAGTTTCAAATGCTGAAAGAATTTTTCCAAAATATCAAAATGCAAAAAAGTTATTAGCAAATGAAGCTCCCATAGAAAAAGCATTAGCAGCTGGCATTGAGAGGGTAGGTATTGCGTCCTCTTAAGGTTTTTTGAGGAATATTTCCATTAGCATTTTTGTGTTGAATTTGAATGTAGGAAATTTTATATTATTTATTTTGTCTATTTAGGCTACCCTCTTCTGTTGAAATCCAACCTCCACTTCCCAACACAAATCCTCTTATGTTTACTCCTGATATGTTTCAGTCCCAAGAAAACAGAAGAAAATCCAGTAAGGGTAAAATAACTTTTCTGCTACAGTTCGTGTATGTTTTTTTTTTTTCAATTGACAAACTATTGATATATGAAAAAAATGACTAACTGCTCATATATTTTAAAAGATTTATAGAGATAACATTAATGATTGAAATTGTGTATGTTAAATCTTTAATTTGAAAATTCTTTAAAATGGAATCAACTGCAGATAAATGAGCATGCTTGTGCTAGGAAAATAACTAATTCATGTCACAATTATAATTTTTGGTTTTAAATTTTTATTTCTTAACCCTTATGTACTTCTTAGTGTAAATTGTTTTCTTCAGTTTTTAAACTAAATTTCCATTCATTAAGTTTGCTCTACATGTAATATTAGATTACTTTTTTATCTGGAAGATATAAGCTACTTAAGGTATGAAATTATGTTGAATACTAAATTTAAATTCTGGCTAAAAGTGAAAGTTGAAGAGAGTTTTATAAATCAGTCAGCTAAAAAGAAAATAAAAAGAGCTGATTGACTTACGAAATTGGGTTTTAGCAATTCACCAAATAATAAGCTTAGAAGTTAAGGAATACAATTTGTTATTAGATTTGATCCTGTATTAAAAGCATGTTACTTGCAATAGAGCAGTATTTTTGAACAATATTTTACTATATTTTAACTCTATTTTTTTTATTTATTTAATTTTTTTTTTTGCTAAAGTATAAGTAAATTTAAAATTAGGCTAAAAGCTTAGGATTTTTTCCCCAATTTATTAGAGAGATTTTGTGCTCTTCTCTGTTTATGCATATATCTTTTATTCCAAATTAATTGCTAAATAATATTATTTTTTTTATAGATGATTCTGGTCTTAGTCCTAAGGATTTGAAGTCTGCAGAGTTGGAAGAAAGCTGGCTTTCTGAAGTAATATATTTGTATTTAATGTATTTTTTTATATATTCTAAACCAAGGTTTTTTGAAGTTTGGAAAGAAAATTAATCTTGTTTAAATTATACCCATTATGAATATTCCCTTCCCCCCTTTTTTGTGTGGTTGAAACGTTTAAATCTCAATATTTACAAGCCAACTTTTTATGTTTAAAAAATATTTATGAATGTTTTTTTTAAAAGTATTTCTTTTTTTATAGCAAATTATTAGTTGAGGTATCGGGCAAGCTAAAATTGTAACATTAAAAAAAATATTGATACATTTTATAAATGATATCCAACAATAAAATAAAAAGTTCTGACAGTAATTCATCTACTATCTGATACTTTTTCTGATATTATAAAGCGTTCTTAATTATTGTTTTTTTTTTTTAATTTTAGAAGCTATGTTTTATCAGAAGCTTGTAAAAGGTTATTTCCATAGAAATTTAATTCATCATTTTAAATTGCTAGTAAAAAGTAGAAAAGTCTCAATTTTGATTGCTGAAAAATATTGCATTTATTTAAGTGAAATTTAAAAATAAAATTATAATTAAAATATTAAATTTATATTTAACTATGTTTTTACATTTTCTATTGAATTTTTGTGTTAATAGTCATTTATTTGTGTTTATGTATAGGTAGAAATTATAACTCATGCAGGACCTCATAGAAGACTGTGGATGGGACCTCAATTTTCCTTTCAGACTTTCCAGCATTCATCTAATACTACAGTTCTTTCATCCAATTCTTCAGCTTTGCTCTCTCAAAGCCCAGATAGTCAAACTCCCTTGACCCCTGATATTTTCACGGAAGAACTTGAAGTCCAGAGCTTGCGGTAAGCATTTCTTAGCGAGTTAAATGAGTTACTTTTATTACTTGTGTTGTTTAAAATAATTTAAAATATCCTTTTAAAAATTTTTATTTATAAATTGTTATTAAACCTTTTTTTTTATGATTTTCTTTTGACTTGAAATATGGAGGAACAGACTTTTTTGAATTCATCTAGTTTTTTTAAATTTGTCAAAAACATTTCTTCAATTTCTAGTTTAAAAAATGCCTTTCTGAGAAAAAAAATTTTTATTCAAAAATTAAGCACTGTAGAATTTGTTTTTTAGACTTGAAAATCCAAAAGTTTTTGAAATTTTATATTCTGAAAAAAGTTCACATAATTTAATCTCCAAACATAATTGAAAAAGTTTTTCTTATTTTTCTTGCCATGGCAATCTAGAATGGAGATTATTATATTGAAATGCAAATGTACAATTATTATGCTTTCACACATGCTACTGCTGTAAAATGTACAATGACAAATCTACTGTGAAATGTACAATGCTACTTCCCCCCCCCCTTTGGTGAAATTATGTTTCTCATTGTATTAAGACTGATTCCAGTTAACTTAATTAGGTGTGTAAACATAGTTTAAATTGGTTGTTGTGTGTCTACCACAAAAAAATACAATTCCAATTTACTAGTATATAAGACATATTAACTCAATTCTATGATGGGGTACCTTTTCATACATGAAGGTTGACATCGGTGACCTTCGGACGTGATATGAACACACCTACCTTGACGGAAACTCCCTCTTCTATATGAACACGCCTACCTTAACAGTAACGCCCACTTTGATCTGAACACGCCTACTTTGATTTATGGCCCACATTGAACAGTTGACTTGCTACTTGTGACTGCGACATTATTTACCTCCTTGCGCTGTTGCTTCTCAGTCTCGATCACTTGCATAATACGCTCGACTGCTAATAGCAACACGGGAGCAGCAAGGGCCGTGAACTTAATACAGCTCTTTAGATCAGCATTCAAAAGTACGGTGATCTTAATACAACTCTTTAGATCAGCATTCAAAAGTACGGTGATCTTAATACAGCTCTCCCGGCTTCTCACAAAACAGTAATAAATCAANCACAGATATAATTCTGGTGGGGGAGTACAGTAGTGTGTCTACCACAACAAAAATATAATTCCAATTTACTAGTATATCAGAGATGCCAACTTGCTCCGGACAGCAAATATATATTTTAAAGTGGTAGTTTATCAATTGTGATTCTTGGTTTAATAAATTCAATTTAGTAGATTTTTATCCATCACTATTCCTAAATAATTCATAGGCTTATATAATTCACCACTTTGTAGTACATATGTCATGCTACACCCTTTAAAAAGCAAGCAAAAATAGTGAAATGTTTGCAAAATTTACTTTATAGTTATTTACCGTTTTTTTTAATTATTTTGGCGTGTCCGGAGCAGTTGGCATCTCTGGTATATAAGACATATTAACTCAATTCTATGATGGGGTACCTTTTCATACATGAAGGTTGGCATTGTTGATAACTACTATCCCCACAATTGTCATACCAAGGCATACCTGCTCACATTTAGAATTTATTTTGCCATTGAAACCCTTTAATAGAAATGGGAAGAAAAATTAAATAAAATTGTGCAAATGAGTTTAAGAATGAATCGTAAGTTTTAATTTAAAACAAAGAAGACAAGGATGGTGGTTTTCAACCACTTAAGGCCAGGGATCACGTATTAACATATATGTGATCGAATGATTAGACCATCACAACCGATGGTATCATATATATGAAATGAGCTCAAATGGCCCAAGTTCACTCCGACATGATCTTAATATGGTCCTCTTGTATTTTATTTTATAACCGTCGTGGAACAGCCGACCCAATTTTATGGGTTTACGACTACTATTGTTCAACTCCGTAGCCTTGTAATTTTGAACCCAATCCAGAAGACAAGGGAACTCTTAGATTGAATATTAGGAGAAATTTGCCTTCATGGAGGACTTTTTGATGGAGCTAACCCGCATTTGCGTTACAGGGAGAGGAAGACCACGAGAACCTCACACGATTAGCCCCGGATGCGAAATTCGTATCAACTGGGATTTGAATCCGGTTCGCCACATTGGAAGGCGAACACTCTATCACCTGAGCCATCGCGGCTCATCCTCTTGTATTACATCTAGTATTAGTCCATATACACACTCTTAAGTACGTATAAACTCATAGTGTGAGCTCAGGGAAATGGTTCTTTCTTCCGCCAGTTCTAAAAAAGATAAAGGTGCATATATTTATTTATTAAAATGAAATGGTTTGGGAAACCAATAAATAAGAAAGCTTAATTTTATATCTGATATTGAATGTTAAAAAAATTCTCTTTTTTATACATTTAAAATTTTGCAGGGAAAAAAAAGTTTCTATCACTGTCATTTTTTTTTCCAGCCCAGCTCGCTCTAATCCAGTTGCAATGCCTGGAAGTCACCAGTCTTCCTCTGGTTCACCCGGTTCACTTTTATTTATTGAAGCTAGCTCTGGTAAGTAGAAAAAGGAAACTTTTAAATGCCTGCATAAAAAACTCTTCTTTCAACAAGTGTGTTGAAATTAATTGTTAATATCATTCTTTTTAACTTGAATTTATAGTTTATAATCTTAGACACGTTTTCAAAAATGTTCTTTCGAATGTTTGCATTTTTAGATTCTTTTTATCTGTTAGGTTATTTTTTAAGAATTTAGTTTGCTTAATTATGTGCTTTTAGTTTTTTTTTTTTTTTTTTTTTTTTTTTTTTTTTTTTTTTTTTTTTTTTTTTNTTTTTTTTTTTTTTTTTTGCTTTTCATTTTTAAAATTTTTTGATTTTGGGTCTTTTTGTCGCTTGGGATTTATCTTATATTTTCTTCTCTTAATCTTATATTTATTTTCATATTTTTCCCTCTTAAATTATTTCTCTCACCATCTCTAATAACCTTATTGTCCTTGGGTGTTACTTTTTTTGTTAATGAATTTTCTTTTTTAAAGTTTTAAAGGATTTTTTAAATTGTCAAAATCTGAGCTTTAATCATTATTAAATCTTAGCTGACATTTTTTTAAGAGTTGAATTTACTGGAATTTTGAATCACTGGATGAAGTGTTAATTTTATATTCCAAGATATTGCACGATGAAGATGTGCAATATCCTTTGGACTTTCAGTTGTCTCACTCTAAAGAAAACATTCATAGAAGAATCTGTTGTACAAAATAAAAATTAATGATTATTTGCAAAATGTGAACATTTACAGTTTGTCTAACAATTTCTAATGCCACCCAATTTGAATATTTAATTTTTTTTGTTTGAAAAAAATATTAGTTTAGCTGAGTAAATGTTCTCTAGAAATTGTTTTGAAAGTACATTTTTTCAGGGAGTTTTGAACAACTACCTAGCATGTTGGAAGTGTGTGGTAGCTGGCCTGATAACTGTCCAAGCCTCACCCCTAGTAAAGGCAGGGAAGAACAGTTAAAAGAAAGCCTAGCTGATGCTATGATTGAAGACCCTTTTGATGCTCTGCGAAGTGGAAGATGTTCAGACTCGAGAAGTAAGTGTAACCTTTATTTAATTAAAATGTTTATAATACTGGCCATAGTTAGATAATGTAGACAGAGTATCTTTTTTTAAAAATATTTATTGTAATATTAAAAAGAAATCCGCGCAAAAAAAACTTTTGCAGGGAAAAAAATTTAAACAAGAGGCACACAGCTGCATAATCATAATTTAAGCCAGGTGGAAAAAAGTTGTTTAGTTGTATACGTGCTGCTTTTGAAGAGAAAAGATAAAACTGCTCATTTAGCCCAAAAATTAGAGAGCCTGTCGTTAGCGGATAAGCAAACAACTGGACACAACTGTCGCTTTACAACAAAAATAAGCTATTATGGTGACAGTAGAAAATCTTTTAATGTAATTTCATTTCTTAATAAAAATGAAACATAGTTGCCTAAGTTTACACAAAAAGTTAAATATGAATATCACAGTGGAGAATCACGGGAGCAAAATTATTAACATTACTTAATACTTGCTATGATAATTACTTAATATGAATGCAGTTCTTTAATTTCATTTTTATTTATAACTATTTATATTAATCTTCCTCCAATGTTCTTAATGTTAATGTTATATTACAGTAGGGAACCGATTATCCGGAACGATCGGGACTATCGCTATTCCGGATAACTTATTTTTCCGGTTTTCAGAATCGCTACAAAAAGCCGTTTTTTTATTGTTAAACCCAACTAAAAAAAAGTTTTTTTTGGAAATAATCTTAAAAAGAAAAAACGATGAAGTAATAATATATTAATGATTATTTCCAGAATGATGGTAAGGTGAACATCTTTTAAAAAAGATGTTCACCTTAAGAAAAAACGGTAACGGTTTAACGTAACCTTAATAAAAAAGAAAGAAAAATCCTAAAATCTTATGAGGAAAAAAAAAATTTAAAAATGGCGGGAAAATGTATCGGATTTCGTCCCGGTTTTTTGGTTTTCCGGTTTCCGGATAATGGGTTCTGTACTGTATTATTATTTTTGAATAAATAAGTTAAATAGTTAAATGTTTTTTCTCCTTTTTGTTATATATGAAATCATTCGTACCCAAATATATTATTAGTTTGTAGATGCTTTTGGATTGTGGGCACAGATACTTAATTTTTTTTTTTTTGTAATCTTACTATGATACTGGCTATTAGTAAAATACTAAAGACAGGTTGAATCATAATTTTACAGCATCCTTGGTGACTAAAATGTTTTTGAATTTTTTTATTTATTTTGTTTAGTTTAACATTGATTTTAAAGTTGACTTTCTTTTGGGGACACTCCGTAAAATTCTGCCAAATTGGCAACTTACAAAATGGCGTCAAAGCTGGGATTAAACTGAATTTTAAACCTAGGATTTTAAACTAGAATTACCTGATCAAATTATCATCAATCAGTTATTTTCCAGACCTGACTTAAAAAAAATTCTTATCTTCTAATTGTTATGTTTGGCATGAGCAATTAATGAAGTAAATTTTCATTGAGCAACTTATCTTTGGCTGGATGATATCTTTAGCTGAGAACCATGACCTACGGTTCTACGAACTGTAATGTTTAGGGTTCTTCTGTCCTCGCCTGTGCTTTATACTCATCTCGTTAACCTGGACTACACATGGAGGAATAACCACACACTCTACTCATATCCTTCTAACTTGCTAAACTACAAACTTTAATACCTACTATATCTGCTTTTCATGCTTGATAGTCCCATTAGATGCAATTCCAAAATGCATCTTAGCTGTAACTCTTTAATATCAGAGAGGCATGAGATTTTTTCTTCAGATAGAGAATTTTTGGCTGTATTAAAGTCAATTAAATTAAATCTTTCATTTTTATATTAATAGTTTTATTTTCATGCAGTTGTATAATCTTAATTAATTCAAACCTGCATTCCCAGTTAATTTTGAGTAATTTTTGACTGCTATCTTTTCTATCTGTTTTTTTCTTCTATTACTTACATGATATGTAAATTATCTAGTTAAAGGTTTATAAGATATGCTGTAAATTATTGTTATATAGCATTAAATTTGTTACCATAACACCCCATTTTACAAATCTGAAAAATATTTAACAAATCTGTAAATTTTGAAATCTAACTGCTTTTTAAAATGTTTTTTAAATGCATTTTAATTTATTTATATGTCACATGTTTTTCTTATTGCAAGAAATCATGTAAGTCACATGTAGTTTTTGTTACTGACATATGATTACTCGAACAGAACTGAACTAAGGTACAATTTTATAGAGCAACCTAGCTATTCGAAGCTAGATTTTCGCTCTTTTTTTGAGGGGGGGGGAGTCTGTACTTTTTTCCTGTTTAAAATTTTATCGTACCACGCATTCAAAATACAAATTTGCATTTATCTAAATAATTTATAGAAACTAATCTGTTTCCAAACCGATAATCTGGGTGTTCTAAACCAATGTTTTCTATGTGTTCTTATCATATAGATTCCACACTTTAAAAAATATATGCACACAGTTTAATTTCATTTTATAATTTACATGAAATTGAGTTGTAATATGAATTATTTGATGAGAATATTTATTCAAGACCAAATGTATAAATTTATTCTTAAATAAATATTCTCATTTTCAAAAAATTTATATTTAAAAGAAAAAAGAAAATTTTCTTTCAGATTTTCAGGGTAGTTGTGAAGAACTAAGCTCTAGTAGTTCTCATTCTGGTTCTGTCAGTCACTGTTATGATGCCAACGCATATCCTCAAAGTTTGGATCACACTCTGGTCTTTCCTTCTAGTCGTGGATCCCCGGATTCATCATAACTGTAAGTTTGACTTATTTTAAGTTATTTGTTTAACAGGTTTTTTTCTTATCTGAAAAATATTTCATATAGAGCTAATTTTGTACTTATTTCTAATTAAAGTTACAGTGGGTAATGTTTAATGGAAATATCCCCCAAAAATAATAAATAAATGAAATAAAAAACTTATATTATCTACTGCATGCATTTCTTTGCTTTAAGCACTAACCTAAAGTATGTATTACGCGAAATAGAAAATATATATTTATTTACTCTCATGCTTTCTTCATTTTTTTCAAAAATCAAAAATAGATTTTTTGAAACAGTTTATATTTTTTGCTGTTTGGCTTTCATTGAACATTATAGCATAAGAAAAATATTAAGCATATCTGACTCCTTTCTTAGTTTTGAAAATTGCTGAAGTTCCTTCAAGTTTTTGACAGAATCTTGATAATTTTTCAACTTTTCTTCTTCGAACATATTACTTTTATGCTCTTTTTTTCTACTTTCTGAGAGATTGTCTATTAATTAATGAGTATCAATCATGCCTTCTTCTTGAGCACTACAGCCTATGACAGGCCAAAGTTGTTCCAATAAGTTTTTGCCATCTTAATCTATTCTGTGCCATGGCCTTCCAGTTAGTTATTCCTATTTTCCTTTGGTCCCTCTCAACTGCATCCAGCCACCTAGTCGGTGGACGACCCCTTTCTCTTGTACCTTCTGGTTTAGAAAAAGTTACTTTTTTGTGGGGTTTTGGTCTTCAGATCTATAAAGGTGTCCCAGCCATCTTGTTCAGTTTACACATATTTCTTTGGGTTGAAGTAGTACTGAAAATTAGCATTACCAAAAGCAGCTCCATTTGTGTAATTCCCTTCATTTTTATATTTTATAGTAGTAAATTCACTTCTTGGAAATCCAGCTTTTTTTTAAATATTTCGTCATGATCACTAGCAACAACTTTGCTTATCTATATATCCCTGCATAAATTCAAAGTTGTTTTTGCAAATTCTGTAGCTAAAGACGCAATATCCATATTGGCTAGGAAAGACTGTATTAAAATTTTATGATACTTTATTTCCTCTGGTTTAAATCCACAGAGAAAAACATTTACTATTTCTGGAAAGAAACTTACTCTTGAAGAATTTCCACTAAGTTTGTTGAAAACTATTTGACGCATCTCTTCTATAGAGGCTTTCTAACCATGCTTCACCTATCGTATACTTCTGTTTTGCCAGTCTTACATATTTTCATAATTTAACGATCTTAAATATTTTCTTGATTTACTTAATAAGCATTTTCTCACATAAATAATATTTATTCTTGTGATAAGATCAAATAGAGTTTTTGTCTAAACGTTTACAGTTAGGTAAAAATTAAGAAAGAAAGAACGTACACTGAGTTGACCACTCATAAAATGTAAGATTCTAATTTCATTAATATTACGTTTCTATGGAATCCCTTTCAATTGAAATGTCCACCTGCTCTTTGTGATGTCTGCTATACTGTTAACTACCTCCATAGCACCTTTCAAATAATTGCATCTTTCAACTTATTGTGACTTATTCAATCAATGAAACAGATGTGGGTGTAAATGTTTTTTTGAAAATAAAGTTATTCATAAATTTTTAAGAGGAAATTTTCTAAGTCAACTTCCATTTTCCATGTTTGACAGTTTTTGTTTAATTCAGTAGATTTTGCATGCCACTTACCTCTTAAATCAAAGGACATATAATGTTTCTGCTAAAGTTTAGTTTCCTTTAAATCAAGGGTTTGTTTAGCTCGTAATTTACTGTACATTGCTCATTTTTAACTTTCAAAATGTAAAATTATAATTTATAGTTTTTTACAAATTAAAAATTTTAACCTCAAATTTTAATATTTTCAATATCCTAATAAATCAGTATTGTCTATGCATTAATTAATGTAGTGTCAGTTTAGTGGGCTGTAGAATTTTTACCGTGAATGACAAAAATCAAGAGAATGTAGACTTTCACCGGTGAATGTCAACAATAGCATAGTCCCTTTGGTGAAAATATTTGTTATATCCGATTTCATATTAATTTAATCGTTGATATTATTATATTTATTCGATATTTTAATATCTGCTGAGGATAGATTAGGAGAAACATCAGTGTTCGGAGTAGCAGTTAAATGTATACTGGGCAGTTTCACTTGATCTTAAAAAAAACATTAATTTAGGCATACCAGGCAGTGGCACTGAACCTTAAAAAAACGTTGATGTAGGGCATACCATGCAAATGTATATTGGGCAGTGGCACTTAACTAGACCTAGTATATATTTCGGACATTTACAAAAGTGACTGTGATTGTCAACATTCACCGGTGGAAGCCAACAACTGCCAATTTTGGTAATTCATAGTAACAGAATTATAACAGATTGCATGCTAAGTTTCAATGATATTATGTAATTGTTGTGTATTGAAAACTACTAAGTTGATGTGTGCATTAATATGTTTTTTGCTGACCATGTATTAGCATATAATTTTATAAATAACTTTATTTTTCAGTCATATTCAAACTACTACCTACAGCCATTTTTGTGATTTAAAATTTTGAACAACGATGAACTCTTTTTTAATCTTCCACCAAGCATTTTTTAAAAGGAATTCTTTGGGTCCACAACTCCAATTTTGCTCAAGCTGAAAGTTCTTTTAAATAATATTTTAAATGGTGATTTTAAGCAGATTCATTTTTCTCTTAAACTGATAAAAAAGCGAAATGCAATTTATACTTACAATGTAACATATACTTCTATTTATATTCTTATTATAAGCATCATTAGTGTAAATACTGCTCATCATCATCACTTTTATTATAATTGGTATATAATTCGAATGGTTAAGATTTGAATTTTATATTTTTTGTTTTAACTAATGTCAACGTTTTTATTATTGTATTTTTGTGCTATTTAACTTCAAATCTCTTATCTTGAGTGATCTTTTTAAAGTGTATTTTATTTGTATGTGTGCATCAAATGGCAAACTTTCTAATATTAGATATTTAATTATCATAAAATATAAATTAAATTTTTTGAGTGTAAATGTTAAGTCATTTGAATATTGCTTGTTCTGCAATTTAATTTCTTAGTTTCTATTCTTTGTGTCTGAATTGTATGAACAATTCTTTTGTCAAATCTTCTAACATTTTTTCGTTATTTTGCTCGGTTGTACTATTTTTCTTTCAATCCTTAATCATGGCAGGATTATATCACTTATTTATTTGAAATATAGTCTAATTATAGTTACTTTTTATAATAACTACTTTCATAACTCCATTAGTAATTTTATGATAACTAATTTTATACTAACGAAAGACATTGAAATATTTGATAGTTTTTTGATAATAATTTCCTTATTTAATGATTAAAAATAATGTCTTATTGTTTTTACTTTTTATATAATAAATAATTTCTTATTTCCTAAATAAATGACATAAATTGGCTTTTTGAAATTAATGTTTTAAAATTTCATGACAGATGAATTCAAATTAACTAGTTAAAATTATTATGATTAAAATTATACTACCCTGCAATTAAAAAGTTAACGTAAATGAAAAAAAAGCAACTGAAAATTAAGATTTTTTATGTGTTTTACATTTTTGTATGGTAAGCTACATAATGCAAAAAAATTTTTTATTATTACTTTTTAATCAGTTTTCTGAGAGTCTGTTTTAGCGTTAACAGCATTAGAAAAGAAAGAAAATATTTGTTAACCCTCCGCGCATGGCTCCTGCGATTTGAGCGGGGTATCTGTTTCGCCCCCCACTACGGGTCACGTGAAAATCGCGGACGAAGAAATTTTCCCCCTGATTTCAATACGGATCCCGCCATTTCCCCGTGAATGACCATCATCCAAAACTATCATCTGATGCTTATTTTCGCTACTAGGTGGCACTAGAGGGTTCGGGAATTTCGCAAATTATATAGAAAAATTCATTGAAGGAAGGTAGTAATGCCTACTTTTTAATATAGTAACCAGTAGATTGATGCTTTAACGTTGCATTTCATATCATACTTATAATTTTTGATATTTAGTGGTGAAAAAATTACTTAAAATGAAAAATACTGAATAAAAGTAACTTAAAAATTGCCCCGTATTTCAGGACCGGAAAGTATAAAAACTGAGCTGAACGCGGAGGGTTAAGCCTCTTTTCACGAAGTTCGTATCAAATCACTTGTGTTATTTTTTAATTGCATGGTAGAATACTATAGTCCGTTCAACGAGAACTGAGAGTGGAAGTAAACAAAATGGTTGCTGTTTGATTGCACACAACGTTTGCCACTTTAACGGTTTCTTCGCTGAATGGGCGATTTCATTTGAATCGACAGAGCTTTTGCTTTTATAGAAAAACGAAAACGATGTTTGGTTTTTGATACCTTAAAATTAGATAAGAAAGTGCAAAATTAAAATATTTTCATGAAAATACNACGCCGCTTTGTTTACTTTCGCTATCAGTTCTTGTTGAACAGACTATAGTGTGTGATGAGTCTTAAGGATGAAATTTGCATATTTTTTTTCTTTGAAGGACAAATTTTTTAAATATTATAAATATAATTCTCTTTGTTAGTAAAGTGTAAATAATGAAATAGAATATTTGAAAAAAAAAAATTGTTTTGAGTGTATTTTAATTTCAAAAGAATATTTCAGTATTAAAGGATTTGAGTATTGGAGGCCAAAAAGAAAGGTGTAAAAATTAATCTGTTGCCAAAGTGATCTTCCTTTCATTACTAATTTCTACTTTTTAATTTCTTAATTCAAAGTAGCAAGTTTTTAGCATTATTTTTAAATTTATAGTGCAAATGGTATTTACTTATTTTTATGATTATTTATTAATTTTTAATTTGTATTGTGTTAAGTTGTCTGGACAACTATTTTAAATTCGATTCTTTTGGCAAAAGCCGATATAATTTTAAATTTAAAGGAAGAGTGAAAGCAATAACTTTTACATTGAAAATTTTTAATAATACGCTCCCTTTTGCCATTCGGATTTAAATTTTCTGCTTGACAATTTTTGGAAATTTTATAAATTTTTCTCGAACATGTCGTGCAATAAAATTATGCAATTTATGTTTTTGAGTAAGTTATTTAAAGCTACAATTTAGCTATTTTAAAATTTAGTAAATACTGTCAAACGTATAATACTAAGCTACCTTTTGAAAAATGATTATTTCAGAATTGAATTTTATCCGAAGAAAAAAATGAATAAATAATCTGAAATATCGCACACTTTTTATCTCAAATTTTAATTGGTTAATGACTTTGTATTTTACATGTTTTAAAAGATACTGCCGAATAGTGGAAATACCTACCGACATTTTATTTGTGAAATTAAATAATAAGTAATCGTAACATACTTAGAAATTCCTCTCCCCGTCTCCACTCCTTCGACAATTGAGTTCAGTTCATAAGAAAGAGACCTCTTAAGGAGTATCATTTATTTTCCAATTATTTGTTCAATTGATTTTTATGTGCTATTTACATATTTTGAAAATAGTGTGTGGTATCCATATTTTACTACATTTTGGTGTTTAGCAAATTATTGCGAGTTTTTGATGTCTTTTTATGCATTGATATCTTTTTTTATGCTTAATTTCAAATTGTTTTAACTATTTAATCAGAGTTAAATTAGTTTTGTAATACTTAATAATGTCTTTATGATGTTTTGTTTTCAGGTTTAAGTGTAATAACTGGTGGTTTTATGTTTTATTCCTTTAGCCTAAAACTATTTTTTAGTTTATGTCATTTTTTTCCTTGCTAATATATTAATTAAAATAGCTATAAGCTTTAACAATATTGGCGAAACTGCAGAATTTCTTGCTTAAAATTTATTAAGTTTTGAAAAATCATTATTCACTTCTAGAGCAAAAATTTATCATTGTGACTGCATTGTAATCATTTATATTCTTGCATTCTATTTATCAAACACATTTTGTGGTAAATATGTTTTGCATCCATGCTTAGAAGTTAAATTTTATGGAGAAACATCATAATAGTTGGCTACAATTTTAAGTAAATAGAACGTCATTTTTAGATTCTATGTCAAAAAATTTTTTAAAAAATAAATATAGAATTTTTGACACAAACATATTTTCAAAGTGGCGTGTTTTATTTTTCAATTAATTGCTTTGTTATGTTAAAAGTTATCTGTGATAGACGCATTGTATAGTTCTATGCTAATTGCGCTGGTAGTGTTTTCTTCTTTTATGAAATAGATGAAGTATTTTAAACTTAAATTCTTTTTTTTTCTTCATAAATTTTGTTATTAATTTAGTTTTTTCTTCTTTTTTCTACAAAAAAAAGATCCATCATTTATTTTAACCAATAAACATTTTAATTATATCTATACAGTATACTCTCGATATCTCAAGGTTGAAGGGACACTAAAAAAATTTAGACAAAGCAAGTTTTCGAGATAACCAGTTAAGAACTAAATATGTTCTAAAAATTAAGAAAATATATTCTGAAATATTACTCTAAAAAGTAGAGTCATAAAACATGAGAATAGTTATTATGAAATATGTAAACAATAAGTTGACTATAAGTCTAAATACAACAATTGATAATTTTATTTTTAAAAGTAAGACAAGAACAATTATGCAATAAATCGAAAATAATTGGTTTACAATGTGCTTGCTTACATTGTGATTTTTCGGAAAAAAAAAATTCGTTATAGCAAGGTTTTCAAGATATCTAGAATTTACTGTATATGCAAAATATGTAGCACAAATTTTATTTCTATTATTTTATAAGACATTTTCATTTTGAAATTACATTTGAGACTACAGTTGATGCATTGAAATTCACCAACAGGGTTCTTATGTCTCAGAAAAAATGTAATTGCTGTCTAGAAGGGGAGACAAACCTTACTCACTTAATATATTTGTGACTACTATGTGTATGCGTGTATATATACATGCACACGCACTAAATAACATAGTGGTGGTCATAAATGTATTGCGTATATATGCATACTCGGTAGCAGAATTTACAGTCTCAATCTGTGGCACTATCTTCAAAAATTCAACTTTGTCTTGGACTTCAACAGAGTGAGACGCACAGCATATCTAACATATATTTAGAACAATTTTCAAGTGTCAAATATAATTATGCTATTAACAAAACCTTTTTATTGCATTTTTTCCAATCGTATTTCAGCTTTACCCAAAAGGAGAAAAGGACCATGTTTAAACTAAACCCAATAACGAATTCAGAATGAACCTGCAGGATGATAGCATTAATATAAAATCATTCCATTTTAAAGGGTGAAATTAACTGAATTGTAATTTACGGTGCTCCAATTTGTGGCTTTTTAAAGTTTCCTGAAATAAAATTCATTTCCATATCATCGCAGGTACTTTGCAGACAAATTTTTTTAAAAAAAGAGAGAAAAACTGTACCTTATTTTTCATAAACGAAGACTTCTTCATTTTTGTTTCGTCCTTAATTTTTTACTTTTTTAAATAACAAATCTGTGATGGAAAATTAGTTACAGATGCTGTGATAATTATTAGTGCCAGTTACGGTGCTGGAGGTTTTCTGCTACCAGTTTCTTGTGTGTATATATAGAGAGAACTCTTTGGTACCAGTTCCCTAAACATTTAAGTGGTATCCCAAAAAAGAAAATTCCTACTTGCCTTGATGTGTTTTTACAATAATGTTTTTCTTAGATATCTGGAAAGTCACGTAAATCCCTTAAATAGTCTTCTAATTGATGAGCGTTTGCATCAACAATCTTAAATGCAAGGCTTCCGGTAGATACTTTGCTTGAATAAGTTCATAAAATGAACATCTAAGTAATTCCAAAGCGTGGAACATTCACTTTTATAGATCTTTCTTATGCTTTTTAACAATTTTAATAAACTACTCATCTGTAAATACTAGCTTTGTATTGTACATAAAACACATATGTATTTGAATTTCAAACACTAAAAATTTTTTTTGAATGTAAAATTTTAAATTTTGTAAAGTTGATTGTATATTATTTCTACTTGCAAAATTTTTTACTCAAAGTGGATTTAGGGAGTTTGATTTCTCATGTTAAATAAGAAATTATGATTAATTATGAGGAGTTAGGTTTTTTTTTAAAAAAAAAAAAAAAAGCAGAAATCAAACATTTTATGTGCAAAACATATTTTAAATAATTGAAAAAACCTGAAGTTAGAGGAAGAAAAAATATATATGAATGAAGTATATACCCATGGAATGTTTAAAGAAAAAAATTACTCTATGAGTTAGTTTTAACTCTGGTGAATTTAAATCCCTATGTGAGATTTTTAAACTTATGAACTGCGATTTTTTATTGTAAATCGCGTGAATACAGATCACAATGAGTAATTTTAAATAGCATGGATAAGAATCTCTATGTGTGATTTTGAATCGCGTGAATAAAAATCATGATGTGAGATTTTGAAGTCACGTAAATTCAATCAATGTGTAATTTTAAATTTTGGGATTACAAATCGTGAATCACATTTACAAAGATGGGAAAAATCATAAATTTTTTTTCTCAATAGTTTGAAAAAGAGGAATTTTCTTTAAAAATGTTGAATTCTTATTTAATGGGAAAGAAAACGTAATTCCGCCAAAAAGCAAAGGAAACTAATATCTGAATTGCTTAAATTTGTTTTCTTTTACTTATATTTGTCTTGCATTTCTTTATATAATTTTGATAGTATTGAATTGCTTGACTAAAACAATTATAAAAATTCAAATTTTCTCTTGCTTTGAAAAATCGCCTAAGTGTAACTAAGCAATATAGTTGAAAAAAATAAGTGATAAGCATAATATTTATGCACTTATAACTTTTTTAACTCTAATATTTGATTTCATAATGGCTTCTGCTGGTCAGAATAGCTTCTGCTTCTATTAAATTATGATAACAAATGTGAATGATAAATAAATAATTAATAAGCTTAAAATTTATCTACTTTTCCACTTTTATGACTATTTTAGTGGGCATTCGGTATATAAAGACTACTAATTTTTTATTATAAAAATTAAAGCGGAATAATAGAAGATTTTAAATTTACCCTTATTCTTTTTAAAAAATTTTGCAGAATATTCTCCCTAATCATTCGTTTCCCTCTCTAATGGAGAATAATTGGAAGAATGTTTCCCAACTAATCCATTGTTTCCCTCTCTAATGGAGAATAATTGGGAGAATGTTTCCCAACTAATTCATTGTTTCCCTCCCTAATGGAGAATAATTAGGAGAATGTTTCCCAACTAATCCATTGTTTCTCCCTCTAATGGAGAAAAATTGGGAGAATGTTTCTCCTCAAAATACTACTTCCCTGTCTCCCCCATTTCTTAAGAAGAAGGCATATGGAAATGCTACTTTCAGATCCTCCTGAAATTGGATCAATATTTTTAATCAGTTGAACTGATATTAAAATTTCTATTTGATAACTAGTAAATTTATCTAGAATTGTCATGTTTTTTATGATTTAAAGTAATTTTTAAATTTATCAACATTCTACTCTGTTATAGTTCGAGTTGTTTTTTTTTGTGACAAATAACCTAAGTTGCATGTGTTTGTGAGAATTTCATTTATGTCAATATGTTTTCAACTCTAGATAACTGAACTTAAATCAGTGCTACTCTGTTACTGAAAACTCAACTCGTAGAATGAAAATTAAAAATTTGATTATTTTAATTTTTTACCTATGCATGTCAGGCAAAAAAGCTTAGTTTAAGAGTAACACTCTAATATTTTCATTAAAGAATTGATAAGTGATGACATTTTCAATGTTGGCAATTTTTAAAGAATTTAACATGGTATGATGACTTCTGAAAACTGGTCCGAATTGGCAACTTCTTTGACAAGTGTTTAGTTATCTAAGGTTCAATATCTATACATATATTACTGCGAATGACCGAAATAAAGATAATGTACTTCGGTGAATGTCAACAATCGCATAGTCGCTTTGGTGAATGTCTGAAATATTTGTTATATCAAATTTGATATTAGTTTATTCGTTCATATATTTACTCGATATGTTAATATCTGCTGAGGAAAGATTTGGAGAAAAATCAGCATTCAGAGTTCTGGTTAAATGCATTCTAAGCAATGGCACTTGCCCTTAAAAAAACATTGATGGTATAGCGGGCAGATGTATACCAGACAGTGGCACTTAACTAGACCAAGTATATATTTCGGCCATTTACCAAAGTGATTATGTGATTGTCACCTGTGGAAGCTTCTTTTTATATCCTATGTTGATCTGTATTGCTATCATTGCTTCATATGTATGTGATCATGATATTTTATTATTTATGCCTAACAAAAAAAACAAAAAAAATAATGTAAATTTGTATAGTTGATTTATTTTGTATGAAAGTTAGTTGTTTTTTTCTCTTTTTATAAAAAGCTATTTCAAAGTATGATCTCTGAATTATTAAAAGCATCTGTAAATGTCTACCTTGTTAATCATTCTCATCATTTCTTTAGTATACATTTATAATTTGCTTGAAATTTAGTTTTATTCTAGTGGGCAATGTGTGCTAAAAAGAACAACTTATAGTTTCTTTGTTTCATTATTTGAATGGGAGAAAATTAATTCCTCTTGTAGGAAGTATTTTGTTTTATTTTTTATTTCAGATATGTATTAGTTTTTGTCGATTTGTTTATTTTTTCAATCAAAAATAATTTTAGCTAAAATTTAAGTTGAAATTACATAATAAAATTTTGATGTTAAAGCTTGACCATGAACGCTCAATATTTAACTTTTTTTTTTACTTAAGTAAATGCGTTTAGTTATTGAATTTGTAATAAGCATTTTTATTGCTTGAGTTTCAAATTAAGAAAATAAAAAAACTTTTTTTGGAGGAAATAATTATTAGTTTTTAAAATAATTTAAGAGTTGGTGGTAGAACATGTTAAATGATATTTTGGCTGATATAATGGTATTTGACTGATATTTTGGCAGAATGATGTAGGATATGCAAAAGATTCTGATCAAGATAATAATTGAGACCCAAATGTTACACAATATAATAAATTGAAGTGCTTTATGTGTAATTAAAATGAGTTTAACATATGGTTAGGGCAAAGGCTCTTAGACTGATAAAATGATAACAATCAGTCACAACTTTCTAAAAATCAATGCAGTGCAACTGTTTTGACTGTTAGCCCTAAAAACATTTTTAAGGACTCGACTTACTCATAAAATTCCGTTCATAATTGAAGAAATTTGCATCAAAAATTTTTTTTTAAAAAATCAGGTATTTAAAATTTTATTTCTTAGGAACTATTGGATAGATTTCATTCAAGTTTTGTATTTTGCTATATAAAATTACATTCTTTTAAATGATGTGAAAATTTGTGCACCTCACGTTTCAAAAATGTTTGAACTGTTATGAAATAAAGTAGTAAAAGTTAACAAATGTTTATTTAAAATTATTTTTTGATGAAATTATCTTTGGATAAGCGAATTTTATGATTGTGTGCAAAAATGTCTTAATTCGCTTACAAAGTTTTCGAGATATGGTGAAATAAGCAAAAAGTAAAATTAACATTAAAGGAGCCAAACTTTTTCTGCTCTTTTGTCCAAACTATTGAGACCATACTTCCCAGTTTGCTGCTATCCCCTATTTTTTGCGTTTTAGAAATCATAATACGTTGAAGAAAAAAAAGTTATATTGATTCAGAGAAAGATACGTTTTTGTGTCTGATTCCATAATTTAAAATATCGCCTGTGTTAACTAATAAGCGTATTTTAGGTCACCCCTTAAATATATTACGACTGAGTCCTAGTACGTGAAAATCCGATCATTTGATCAAAAGTAATTCAAGGTTTTATTCCCCCCCCCATTTTTTTCTTTTTTCGCACACACTGACCCCATGCCTAGGCAATGTACGAATTGTATCACTTCAGGCTTCATCGATTTTTGGCATTGTACACAATGTCTGTTTTTTTCCAACTCTTCTTGTAATATACAGATAAAGAAAGGAAAAAAAAGCAATATTTTATACTATCCTATATTATTATAATTGTAAATTTTCAGTAGATAATTCGAGTTGCATCCCAAAATCATTTATACATTTGTGTCTTATTATTGTTTAAACTCGTGTCAATCAAAACCCTTGCACATATAGCCAACAATTAAGCTAATCTTGCTTAACTGCAAAATAATGTAAAGCAATTTTTGTAAAACAACAAGGAAAAAAGTAACTTCTATAAAGAATTTTTATTTCTCTCTTTCAATATCAATTGCCTTACTTGACGTTCGACATCAACATAAGCACAACATATAAATATCTTTGATTATACAATTTTTACAAGCACTATGTACAAAGTTGTTTAGACATTTCTCTTTTAAAATTCGGTATTGCAGATGCTTTAAAAAGACTATATACAGATTCACCAATCAATTTAAGGACGACAAAAAATATTTGTACTAGAATAATCTTTCAAAAGAGTAAAAAGCGGTGGAAAAGTTATTTTTTTATAGATATGATTTTGAATAAAATGCAGTGCTGTGACGTATCGGTAGCAATAGACCACATAGATATCAAACATAAATTATCTCCATTCTGAAATAAAAAGTCTGATCTAATGTGGCAGAAATAATTTCCATCACTTTTTACTTCTTTAAGGCTGTTGCACACTCAGACAGTGCAGAGGCAGGCCTGCCAACTACTACGCTTTTTGTAAAATATTTTTCAGAGTGGTAGACATTTAGAAACGAAAACTTTCAAAATTTTCGGTAATTTTTGATAACATTCCACCTCGAAAGAGATGGAACAAAGTGGCGTTGCGTATGAGCTTTTAAATCATTTATATGTTGTAGTTTGGAAAATGAGTTTAAATGAATAAAAAATAATACATTAACTTAGCCACCACTAGAATAAATTTTTACAAAATGCGTAGAAAGTTGGCAGCCCTGCAGATTCATTGCCTCCTATAAATGAAACCCTCCTCACGGTTTCTTGAAGATAGTCCGTTCAGACAACGCCTCCTATAACTGAAAGCCTCCACACGGTTTTTTGTAGGTAGTCCGATCAGACCACTATGAAGGTAAACCATTTAGTGAAAGAACCATTTAATATGAAATCTATTAAAAATTAGAAAGCGGTAGAAAATATATATTTTAAAATTTTTTAAATTTATGAATATAATTGGTTTGTTTTATTTACTTGTCCGCCACTACAGATTCAATTCTCAAATATACGTATATGATAAATTTCTCTCAAGTACTTTTAAAATAGAACTTGGGTTCATGCGCACAAGTGGTTCGCTTTTTAAATAATCTGCGCAGACTACTTATAAGAAACAGTGAGGAGGCTTTCTGATGTAGGAGGTGATGGTTCAGACCACTATGCAAGTAAACCAGTTTATACACTAGCCATTTATTAAAGCCTACGTTGAAACCAAAAAGATGGTTGCAAATATTTGTATTAAAATACGTTTAATGAATGGATAGGATTGGTTTTACTTCTTTGTTAACTAAAACATAATAATTCATCAAATGTATGAATATTAAAAGAACATTTCTTCAAGTGTTTTTGTAATAGATGTTTGGCTCATGCGCAAAACTGGTTTACTTTTTAAATAGTCTGCGCAGACTTCCATTAAAAAAGCCGTGTAAAGGCCTTCTGGTGTTGGAGGTGATGGCAGAGGCAATCTATATTTCGCTAACACATGTAAGGAAAGTATCTATGCTGTGCTAATAACGAAGACAAAAATGCCCGTCTATATTCGTCTGTCTGGTAGATTGAATATGCATCAGGGCCTGTATTCATAATAGGGTAACTTGTGGGTGGCAAGCCCACAACAGGACTAGGCTTAATTGGTAACCTGGATTCATGATTCAAGATTGTATTCGAATGTAGGTGATCTGCTGTACCCAGAATCGAAGCAACAGAAAATGGTATATCTGGAGAAGTCCTTAATGTTTCGGGTGTTCTATAACCACCCGATGTTCGAATGTAAGGCATTGTAGGGACATTAAAAGGTTGCTGCAATGTCTGACTGATCTCTTGGCTCTGTAGAGATCGTTCTGCCAAGCATTGTTCCAAATAGTTATTGCATTTTAAAGATGCCAGTCTGTCTATTTCTGCTGCTGCGGGTAGTTTAACAGCATCATTCTGCTTAACCACATCCGGTTTGGATGAATCTTGGTCACGTGTTGATGTATTAGCTTTTTCTTCTTTGTCTGCGAGGTTTTTGCTTGGCGATGAATCGGACTCTGAGGTTGTCCATTTGCTTTCGTCAGCGTTGTCGTCCGGTTCTTTCTCGAAGAAGAAATCATCAGATGCTTTCCTAAAACATAAGATAATGTGCCAAATTAATATACAATATTAATATTGTAGCTAAAAAAATTAGTAAAACAGTTGGGAGATAGAAAGACCAAGGTACACTTGAGAGAAAATTTAAAAATAAAATAAAAATAGGTTTTTATTATTGCTAGTTATATTTTAAGTTTTGTTTCCATCGAAAAGATAAAGCCAGTAAATCAAATATTAAATTATATCTCGCTATTTTTTAGAGATTCCGATTGTTACAGTTATTCCTGATTGTATACCGTTTACCCGGTAGACTTATTTTGCAGTAATGGGAAAAAATGCCTTTATGAAAAACATGATAGAAGGTTTGCAAATAAATTGTATGGATATTTTATTCAATTAACAACCAATTTGGTTTAAAAAACATAGCAATTGCTTGATTTTAGAAGAAATATATATCACAATATATATAATTTTATATTATTCTGGTTAATCGGAATATTCAGCTTCTCCAGTTGTAAGTACTCAGAATGAAAGATTCCAGCTATCAATCTTTAATATTCATAGATTAAAAAAGAATAATGTTGTACTAATTTTATTCTAATAATTTTATTAAACTGAAACCTGCGTAGGTTAGGTTTCAGTTTTAAGATTTTTCAAATGGAATGACAAAGTGACTGGTTCAAAAAAATTGAAATGTTGAAATTTTAAAATTTGCATGCAGTACTGTGCTTAGCATTCATGTACTGACAGTGTAATTGTTCACCAATAAAACATAATTTTTTTTTTTTATCTTTTAGAATTTACTTAATTTAGAATTTTTAGATAATTTTTAATATAATATTTTGTTAGTTTTTACTTTCTCCGTTTTCCTCATCTATTTATTTGGTCTCAGCATCTTAATTTGTATGTTAAAACTATTTACTAATATTATTTAAACTTTTTATTCACTTAATTTTTAATAAATTTTAATCATTATGGGGTAATGAACCTAATTAGTTTCAGGGTTTTATAGATGGTAATTAATAACTTTTAATGTGTACCATAGCATGAATATTGCAATTGTAAAGCTCAATAATTTTTTTTCTCAAGTTTGTCTACCATATTAATTTTTTTGAACCACTAAATGAATACCTAGGCTATCCTATTGGATCACTAAATTTCCACTGCTGGTGTAAATCCTAGACATGTTCCAAAAATGAAACTTTGGCGCTTAAACGGTGAAGTTTTGTTTATTTATAGTCTGTACCCTCTTGGCAGTTTTTTAATATTTGAAAATATTGGCACGCCAACACTGCATTGTGTGAAGTGGGGGGAAGCAAAAAGAAGAAAATAATCACCAATTTTAATGATTCTCATATAAGTAAACTTATTAAATTTTTATCTAATAAAAGGGACACCGGTGTGCCATCTTCGTAAAACGATTAAAACATTGAGATTTCTATAAATAGAAACACTAGACAAATGTGGTTAATCCATTTACCGCTAGAAAATGTCTGTGGTTTAACATTGCCCCAAATCCCAACAAATGTTGAAACTAGCATGGTTTTATAGAAAATTGGCCTTTGATTTTTTGCCTGCAATTATGTTTGAACTTTCCTTCAAATAGAATTGGCGAAAACGCGGAATCATCAGCGAGAATGACTAAACATTTTAATTTCCTCTGTTAAATCAGCTGAAGAAAAAAGGAAATATTGCTATAAAATGTTTTACAGCGATTGTTAAAAAAGTAATTGGAAAACTTTTATTGAATATAATGTATTTTTAATTCTTTTAAACAAAAGTGCTCACATCATAACAGTAATTGACTCTTGCACATAAATAGATTTCTAGTTTTTCTACTTCTTTTGAAGTGTACAGTTTATACAGTTCTTAAAATAGATGATTGCTTCATGATATTTAAATTTATCAGGTGCTTTTATAAAAAGTGTGCAATTCGTTTATCAAAAAATGCTCCACTCACCTTTTTAAACGCTTCGAGCCGCCTGATTCTCTAAATCCTTTAGCAAAGGGATTATTGTCTATCTTCAGTTTGGTAATCTGTAAAAGAAAATTGCATACATTAATTAAATTTTAACATTGCTTTGCCAAAAAAAAAATGAATTTATGATAATAAAAGGCATGGAATGGACAGAATAATAAGTATATACGTGTTAATTTACACGTTACTATGCAACACTAACTAATACACGTGTTTCAACTTTACAGAACATTACTTTTTCCAACTAAATCGCATTAAGCCTTTAAATCACTGTTTCCCAAAGTGTGGTACGCGTACCCCCTGGGGTACGGGATCAGTTAAGCGGGGGTACGCGTTCGCATGCGAAATATCTTGCAACAAACGAAAATTGCAGCAAAAATTTATTTAAAAACAAAGCTAACCATGAAAATTTACGATCACGTTTTTTTCTATTGGCTATTTTTTGCAGAGTTAACAGTCAATAACTAAAATATATTAATAAAAATGTTAATAAAAACATATTTTTAAAATATATATTTTTATTAATAAATATGTTGATAAAAACATATTTTCAAAAATATACATTCATTTTTTTATTAGTGGTACTCAGCGTTACGAAAAATTTAGAAAGGGTACACAAAAGTCATAAGTTTGGGAAACACTGCCTTAAGTAAAAGATTATTAGATTTTGCAAAGCTTTAAATATTATACAGTTAATTGGGTATAATATGAAAAAATATTTGTGGCTTGAAGTTAGGCTCGCAGAAAATGCCGTTCATGGGTTAAATTTAGTAGGAACAACACAACCTGTGACGTAGGCTATATTATACCCCATTGACAAAATTTGATCGAAATCGGTCATTTAAAATCTTTGGTCCTCTGATCATTAGGATTGCATCTTCGTTATTAAAATATACAATCAATATATCAAAAGTTACAAAGGATTTCCATTTGTACTTTGCACTCTGTACAACAACTATAAATTAAAAAATGTTGTTCAATAATTATTTGTGAAATGCTTTATTAGTATTACTTTTTTTATTTAACTTACCTTTTTGGAAATTTACGGACATTAACAATATCAATTTTAAAACTTCTACTCGGTATATCATCGAAGTCGAGCATCTCTGGCAGGGACCACTTTGATCAGTCTGCGAAGGGAGCGAGGTGTGCGGTATTGATCCTTATTAAACTGTTTTACCGTAAAGTGTTAGATTTCTTGTCCAGGTTGTAGGGCTACCAAAAAGGGACTGATACCTCTCAGCCTCGGTTCCTACGCAGGCTGATCAAATCGGTCACCCGCTGCTTACTGACCGCAGCTTGTGATGCTTGACTTCGGTGTTCTACTGGAAACCGAGTGTCCTTACGATTAGCCATATTTAGTTTGATCACTGAGGGACTTTTGTGATCAAACTAAATATGGCTTGTAAAAATATATAAATAAGCGTATATGCTTCAGGATAAAAAATCATTAGAAATTAGCAAATAAAGTAAGACATTTATGGCCTTAAATCAAATACAGAGTTCAGTTATAATCAGACGGTACAATCGATCTTTGCCGAAATGGAACATACCTTTTGGTTTTGGTAAGCAGTGACAGCTATGAAGTCTGTTTCTTCGAAAGTGAAAGTACGGAATTTCTTGAAAGGTAGCCTAGAAATATCGTCAGCTCTGACAACGTGAAACCTTGGCTGATATTTGTGCATCGAATTCAATATAGTCTGTAAAAGAGGAAAATTATTAACAAAAACAATACGTATTTTTTAAATTGCAAAAAAAAAGTTTCATTACTTAAAAAAAAGAACAAAAAATCTGCAGTATTTGCTAGGAAATCTTTAGGAAACTGAGATTTCATAAACTTTTCTAGCAAATACAATGTAATTAAATAAATTGCAGTACTTCCAAGAAAACCTCTAGGAAATGAGAATTCCACAATCTTTTCTAGTACCGGTACAGCTTCTTCTTGGTAACGAAGTCTACGTAACTTAAAAAGAAGCTGAACTACTGTACTAGAAAAGTTTAAAGAATCTCAGATTCCCACAAATTTTCTAAAAAAAAGTACTGTATAATATTTTTTTTTCTTTAAATTTCTGTGTGATTCCGCGGACATACAAGGAAGTCTACTACTGATTTTGTTCAAGATTTAATTTCTATAATAAAGCCGTAGTAAGGGCCGGGATAGCTTGTTTGCTAGGACGTTGGACTTGAGTTCCTGAGAATAGGAGTTCGAATCTTGTCGGCCGAAGAATCCCTGCGTATTAAATAGTGCCTGGTACACTTTAAATCTGTCGGGATCACAAAGTTCTCCAAGTTCCTAAAACAAATCAATACCTTTGGGGGTACTGATCCAGGAGTTCTCTTGTTTTCTGGATTAGGTTCGAAATTACAAAGCTACGGGGTTGAACATTGGTAGTCGGCTGTTCAACGACGGTTATAAAAAATAAAATAAAACGGTGCAACATTTATTCTTATCTATTTAATTGTTCTATCATAACTCTTAACATACATAGCAAATTATTCATTTTGATATACGAGTATACACACACAAGAGTTTCAAATTTTAGTATCTTCAATAGATTTTTGCTATTTATTAGTCGCCACTTTTTACTTTTTTAGTCGCCGTCTTTAAAATGATTTTGACCATCACTACAAATAAATAATAGCGTACATTTAAATACACAATTGGTGGGGATGCTGTTATATAGCAATGTGTTTTCCGGTTTAACCTTTCTAGCACTTTAAACACTTTAGTAATAAATCCATCCAATTTCAGAATTTCAAATTATGTTAGAAAACAGTTTTCTAATTAAAAGGTCTAAATAAAAATTATATTTAATATGAATAATCCATAATTCCTGCAATGTTTTAATAACTTTACGTTTGAATTGTTCAAAAAACTATCCTATATATTTTTAAAATTGCTTTTATTGTAGTCAAAATAACTGTTTGTGGAATCTAATGCACATTGCGAAAAAATGCTATATAAGTATGGTGCATTTAATAAGTAAGGTATAATGCTAAATCAATATAGTGCTATTAAGTTTGCTAAATAATTCTGGTGCTAAATGTATAATAATGCTAAATAAGTATAGTGCATTTAACATTAGCAATGAAAAAATGTGAAACAAATTATATATTTGCCGAGAATTAAACTTGCTGGACGAATCTTCAACGATTATTCAATCAAATATGATAGAACTCCATTCGGAACAATTAAATTCTTTTCAGCGACAAGAAATTAGGCTTTTACAAACTTTTTTTTAAAACCTCTGTCTTCAACTATTGATTATAAATACCACGGTATTTATTTAAATGCAGATATTTTTAATGAATGAAAAAAAAAAAGAACTTACATGGCTGTGCTTGTTTGATATGTTGTTTGTGATTTTCAGTTTGTGGAATGAAACAATTTTCTGCATCCATTGTTCACCAGTGGATGGTGAATCAGGATGGATATACATCCTCTTGGGCATCTCGGGGTCGGCCTTCCCTGCCACTACCCACCGGCTATTATGGAATTTATATCGGCAATCGTCTGCTGCTACAATGTCCATCAATAGAATGTATTTAGCTTTCTTGTCTAGGCCGCTCACTCGGACTTTAAAAGCGGGGAACATCCGCCTATGGAAAAGAAGTTTATGTTAATTCTTTTTAATAATTATATAGTTTAAAATAAAAAAAAAAATACATTATAGATAATTGACGACGTTAAAAGCGATTTAATGTTAAATATAAACTGTGAAAGAAGTATCTGAACAATTTGGACATGCAGTAACGTTTGAAATAATTATAATAATAATAAAAGACTGCTAAGATATGTTGCGCAAATCACTTAAAAACATAAAGCAACTCATGATAATTATTAAGTAACTCGCAATAACTATTTAATTCCATTTAGATGCTATTAAGCGATAAAATAATATTTGTTCCTTCAGTATAACTTTACGGATAAAATTGAAACTCAAAGCGTTGTGGTAACATGCGAAAGCAACCTAACTATTTTATCTTATTAAGACATTTTTGTAGCTAAAGTTGCATACGCGTATAAAAATTTCAGAGACTTCTTTTTTTAAAAATATAAATCTTAATCAACTATGCTCTTGAATCTTAATACATTGCAAAGAATGCAGCACGTAATTTTTAAAAAGAATATAGTCTTTTAGTGCAGAGGTTCCCAAAAGGTTTCTGCAGAAGAGTCACAAAGTGTTGTCTTCGAGAGTTTAAGTTTCTTTAATCAGTAATGATTTTTTAAACCTATAATTACATTTGTATCAAAACGAGAAAGGAAGAGTGTTCTCCATAAAATCCTGAAACTTTCCTTTCTAGTTATTTATTATATTATTTATTATTGTTTCATTTACTATCATTTTATTTATTATTATTTTATTTACTATTATCTTATTTATTATCATTTTTATTCATTTTTATTCATTTTTTAAATTAAATAAATCAAAAATCTCAAAATTATACAAGAACTAAACAGTTACGTCCCTTCACAATTCAGAAACTGAATAAAATTGGCTAATTAGAGTTTTAACCCTTTTCGGCGCTATGCAGACAGTCTGGCAATACTAATTCAACAAAAGTTACAAATCATTAAAAATATAAAACTAATTACTTTTAAACGTTTAGCAGCCAATTCAATTATTTAAACAACAAAGAGTTAAACTATGCCATTTAACTTAGAATGAGCTGCCTAAGGTCGCATATGTTTATGCCCAGTTTAACTGAAATTTTCAATCAAAATTTGCTTTTCCGGAAGGGTTAAATACAGAGATGCCATCTACACCGGTTTCGACAAAATATTTTAAAACGCGGTAGAGAACAAGAAACTGAAATTTGAAGACTTTCGGTAAATTTTGCCTGGATTTTAAAAGTCTCAACGCGTCTAAACGGCAACAAATTAGCGTATCACATGAGCTTTAGAATTATGTGGAAGTAATGGTGAGTAAAAATTTCATAAATCGAATTTACTAAACCAAGAATCATGCATTAAAAGACTACAACTCAAAAATATTTGTCCGTTGCAAGTTTTGGAAGAGTTGGATAGTTCTTACATGCTCTGAAATTGGTCTATTGTAAGCCAAATTGGTGTATTGTATAGGTCAAAAATTCTTCAAATCTGACTTTTTGTCCACTTTTCATTATTTTAAGAACCAAAATAAAGTATAAATTTTCAGAAGATTTTGATGATACACATACCTTCCGGATTTGGTGATGACCATTTCTGTTCCCAAAGCATGGAATCTTGTCCATAAATCTTTTGATTCCAAAGTAACTTCCGGGTCATCTTTCACGCCATCCTCTTCTTCAGGCTCAGGGGGGTAGCAGTAACCTCCCATGGGGAACTCTTTAGGCAAACATTGTGGGTAAAGGAAAGGGGTAAAAAAGGGCAAAGAGGTAGGGGGAGTCAAGAAAGAATTGGTTCTGTAGTCCATCATTGGCGCCTGAGGGGCATAGGCACTAGGGGGTAGGTCACAGGGGTAGANAGGGAAGAGTTTTCTATTAAATCCTGAAACTTTCCTTTCTAGTTATTAAAGTATGTCATTTAACTCAGAATGAGCTGCCTACTGAAATTTTCAATCAAAATTTGCCATTCCATAAGGGTTAAATGCAGAGATGCCATCTACTCTGGTTACGACAAAGTAAAACACGGTAAAGAACTACAAACTGAAATTTGTAGATTTTCGGTAAATTTTGCCTACATTTAAAAGTCTCAACACGGCTGAACATCAACAAATTGGCGCATCACATAAGTCTTAGAATTATATAAAAGTAATGGTGAATGTCGAATTTACTAGACCAAGAATCATACATTAAAAGACTACAACTCAAAAATATGTATCCGTTGTAAGTTTTGGAAGAGTTGGATAGTTCTTACATGGTCTGCAATTGGTCTATTGTAAGCCAAATTGGTGTATTGTATAGGTCAAAAATTCTTCAAATCTGACTTTTTGTCCACTTTTTATTATTTTAGGAACCAAAGGAAAGTATATAATTATTCAGAAGATTTTGACGAACACCTACCTTCCAGATTTGGTGATGACCATTTCTGTTCCCAAAGCATGGAATCTTGTCCATAAATCTTTTGATTCCAAAGTAACTTCCGGGTCATCTTTCACTCCATCCTCTTCTTCAGGCTCAGGGGGGTAGCAGTAACCTCCCATGGGGAACTCTTTAGGCAAACATTGTGGGTAAAGGAAAGGGGTAAAAAAGGGCAAAGAGGTAGGGGGAGTCAAGAAAGAATTGGTTCTGTAGTCCATCATTGGCGCCTGAGGGGCATAGGCACTAGGGGGTAGGTCACAGGGGTAGAGATGAGGGTGAAAAGCCATCCCTGTGGGTGGTAAAAACGGTGAATCCAGTGTCATGAGTTGCGATTCTTGTTAAACCTAGAACAAAAATAAGAATTTAGTTTGTACTTGGAATTGTACTAAAACAATATACACCGTTTCTTTCTTAGTATGAATGCGTACATTTTGAATTTATACTAGCAATGTTACCACGGGAGAATAAACATGCAGAAATTGGAGTCTAAAAAAAATTAAAAATTTTATTTAAATAAACTATTCTTTCTAGCATATTTTTTTACAGTTTGTTATTAAAAGTAAAAACAAAGAACTGAACTGAATTAAATTATTTGGGCAACCGAGGCAGCTTGCGGCCCTTTTCCCATTCACCTTTAACTTGAACTTAGTGGGTTTTCGATGATGTGGTGGAATGCAAATGAAATAAAGGAGTATTCATGTAGATCATTGAGTTCGGACCATGTAGTTATATGCAGATAAAAGCATAATGTAAAAATATGAGGTATAACTCGAGCCATGATGAAAATGAGGTTATGTATATGCTACTGATGTGGGGAATATGATGCATCACTGCAATAGTATGCTGCTATTGGTCTCTTGTCTTCAGTTAAATATTCATATGGGAATATTTCATTGAAATTTGCTGCAGAGCAAGAGATGGCTTTTTCTTAGAATTTGATATTTAATTTAGTTATATGCGTATCTATTGTATTTATTTTGAGATAGTAAATGACAAGTACGTCTTTGGTTTAAAAATTAAAAGTTTTAAATGTAAATCATAGTGGTAGTTGAGACTTAAAGAGATAATAAATGAACAATAATGAGTTGCGTTTCTACCACTTTTTACATTCCTGGTCTCCTGTGGCATCCCTGTACTAAAGATTTCACTAAGGCAAAAAGTATCTTTAGACTATTAATGAAATACTTCATTATCATCGCATTTACCCTTTAATTTTATTTCTCAACGATTATTTATTTGTAATTCATTAGCATTGAATCTTAATTATTAGAAAAAACTTCAATTCATGGTTATTTTAATTTTAGACACTTTTCACAACCTTTGAATGTTAACATTTTTATCTATAACTTAAGTTTTGCTGCCGTAGCTGTATTTGTGTATTTGAACTCTATATTGCTATAACTAAATGTTTAAACTTTTACATTCGACGAAACTTAAAAAAAGAAAAAAGTGAATAACATATAAAATTCAAGAGAATAAAATATTAAAATAATTTTCATGTTCCGTTTGTATTAATATTAATGTTCGGGAATTTTAATTATGAGGAATATTTCCCCCTCCGCTAAGGTTAACTGCTAAATACTTGATAACACACTAGATGGCAGCAGTGTATTTCTTAGAATTGATTTGGGCTGAGATCTCTAGTCAAATTTCAAGGTCTGGCTTCCAAACGGTTCTAATTTTTCTTGAAGTTTTGTAAGAATTGTTCTATATGATGTTAAAATAATTCATATTTATTTTTACTTTCTGTACTTGACAGTATTTATTGTTTTTCACACATTTCTTCTTAAGATTAAAAAGTAAAATTTGAAAATACCAATATTTATTTTACCAGTTTAACGATTTCTTTCATTCTTAAAAATATATTATCACGAAATTATCATTTAAAAAAAATATTTTTACCAATATTTAACACTAAAAAAAAAATTCATATTTAACTTTCAGAACTTAAATCAGTATTTTTTGTAGCCACATAATATGTAACTGACATGAAAACATGGTTCAAATTTAGCAAACTTGTAGAATAAGTGTAATTACACCCCCTCTTTAACGGAGTCACCACGAGATAAATGCAATAAAATTGCATTTCAAGTGATAATTTGAATTTTTGATTTATAATGGCAGGCCTGCCAACTACTACGTTTTTTGTAAAATATTTTATAGAGTGGTAGACATTCAAAAACCAAAGCTATCAGAATTTTTGGTAATTTTGCTAGAATTTAAAAAGCTTTATTAAAAATCAGCTGGCAAAAGAAAAAAAGGTTTGGATATAAACTTTTTAATCGTTTATATGAAGTGGCGTAGAAAATAAGTTTAAACGAGTAAAAAATAATACATTAAAACATAAACTTAGGTACCACTTAAATAAACTTCTACAAAAGGCATAGAAAGTTGGCAGCTCTGCATAATGGTAAAAAAATTACTTAGAATGAAAAATGCTAAATTAAAAATAACTTAGCCATTGGGGGGAAAATTACCATTATTACCACCAAATTACCTTAACATTACCATTGCAGAGATGCCAACTACTCCGGACACGCCAAAATAATTAAAAAACTGGTAAATAACTACAATGTAAATTTTGCAAATATTTGACAATTTTTACTTGTTTTTTAAATGGTATAGCATGACATATGTTCTATGAAGTGGTGAATTATATAAGCCTACGAATTATTTAGAAATAGTGGTGGATAAAAATCTACTAAATTGAATTTATTAAACCAAGAATCAGAATTGATAAACTACCACTTTAAAATATATATTTGCTGTCCGGAGCAAGTTGGCATCTCTGCCATTGGGGGAAAAAATTTTATTGGAATTTTTTTCTTCTTCTTTTTACAAATCGGAGCAAGTTGACAAATCTGGTTTTATACACGTTTCATAAGAACTTAATTTGCTTTCAAAATAAGAAATTTTTAATTTAGTCAATATTGCCAGAAAAAATATTTTGTTAAAACCTCAAATGTTAGAGATTATGAACACTGTTGAAAACTAGTTGATTATGCTTTGGTGAAAATCCACTTTATGATCCTCTATTAATTATTTATTAAGACTTTACTAATTATAGACGAATTCATAAACAAATCTTCAATAAAAAATTTTGTTATACTCACACATTTTTCTTACTATTGTGTGTACAAGAAACACTTACACTTCAATGCAAGAAAATGAATTTATTTGTAAAACCAAATGACTTCAAACACGAATCACGTTACGATGCAACACACTATCTATAGATATCATCAGAATATACAGATATCATTAGAGTATCTAGATCGATATCAGATGAAAATGTGTCATCATTGTCTTATCCACAATCTCTAACTCATTATTCCTTATTATCAGTGATAACTGCTTTCAACACTTTTGCAAAAAAATGATTAGTTTTGCAAACACAGCAAATTTATCACTCTAAAAGTATAAAGTAAAAAACACGGAAATGTTTATGCAAAATATAGGTTTGAAGTTCTGTAGAGCTTCAATCTAAGACTGCGTTGTATTTAAAGGGTAAAAATTTTAAAGAATGATAAGACTTTTTCCTTTCTTCACCTTAATGATCTTCGTATTTAAAACAAAACAACCAATATTCAATGAAATCAATAAACTTAATATTATTAAAAAAGCATGTTTTTCTAAAAAAAAACATTTACAAAAGAAATTCGTACATTTACTTTACATTTATTCGTACATTTACATAAGAAATTAAAACATTTACATTAATAAGATTTCATAAGAAAATCAGTAAATGCTAAAAATCTATGAAATTTATAAAATTTTGCTTTTAAAAAAATATGTACACAATAACCTACTTGAATTAACGTGCTTAAAAAATAACCTACTAAGGGAAATCTTCCTCACAAATATGTTAAAATTTTGAAACAAAAAATGTAATACTAAAAGCAAAGCATTCCCGCAAAAGCCAATTATGGGCCCAGGGGGTCACGAATGATCAGGCTCCACAATTTAGTGACCAACGGCATAATTGCAGAAATGTGATCAGGACAGCACACAGGCCGCCTTTACTTCACAGACAAGCTGATACCCATCGATCTGAAAATGGGTGGGTTTCAAGCCGCCACTTGTTATCGAACCCAATCTCTTTACAATGACAGCTCATTCCCTCAACCACTAAGCCATCGCTGCCCAAAATGTAAAACTATCACCAGATTAATGAAATACTTTTTTTTTAAATTTAAAACTATCAAAGATATATATATATATATATAATGTTAAAAAATTCAGAGCGTTTTTTTTTCATTAATTTTCTACAAAATATTCAATCAATCAAAATAAATAGCTTTCGATTATTTTACTTATACATAAGTTGTTATTTAAAAAGAAAAAGACCTAAAAACCTAAAAATTTAAATTTGTAGGAAAGATAGTCAAATGTATTTAAAAAAATTTAGTTGACAAAAATAGTTACAAGGGTAATCCTTAAACATTTACTGATGGCTATCATGTGTTTGATCACAAAAAAATATGATTAAAAACTCTTGACAGAAATAAAATTCTTTATAGAACGCTAAAGAATCGTTTGGTAATAAATTTAATGAAGTCAATTTAAATTAAACAATTAATAAGAAAAAAAGTAAATTACGGTTTTAGTTTATTTTCAGTTATGTTATTGTACAAAAAAATCATGCTCGAATTTCAATAATCAGAAAAAGCTACAACAAATGTTAATAATCATTTATTGCAGTTTTTAAAACTAGAATTTTTTTTTTCTATATCCACCCGATTGACACTAATCATTTGAATATTAGTAGGGCAGATTTGTTGGCCACTCATTCAGGGGCACCATATTAGGTGGGCCAACGTTGCTCCTACAGTAAGGACAGATAGTTCAGAGAATGAAAGAACATCTATGCTTAATCCAGGATTTGAACCCATGAACTTCCTAACACAAGGTCAGCTTCCTGACCACTACACAGTTTTAAAACTAGAATATAAACATGTCAATTTGCAACCAAGTACTATGCCTTAAAAAAGGTTTAAAACAATGTACCCATTAATCATTGTAACAATATCCCTTATATCATTGTAACAATATCCCTTAATATATATTTTTTAGAAGCAACGCCAGAAATGAATTTGAAAAAGTCTGCAAAGAAACTAATATTTAAGCAAGAACAAAGTAAAAAAAAGTACCACAAACTTTCGAATCAAACATAAGGAAAGTAGAATGAAAAACATTAAAGCAGTCAATTGTCAGATAAAATTAGGAAGTACTTTGATTAATCGCTTTTCAAATCTGTTTTTTTTTTGGAATAATATAATTTTAATACTTTCTGTTCCCTCTTACTCAATAGTGATTTATTAGT